TATTTTTAATCAAAGATTATGTTTTTATTTTTATAAATATAATGATTATAAAATATTTTTAATTAAAGATTATGTTTCTACTTTCATAAATGTAATGATTGTTATTATTTTTTTCAATCAAAAATTATATTTTTACTTTCATGAACGTAGTATTTATTTTTATAGAAACATATTATTTATTATAAACATTGCGTATATGTCTAATAAAACGTAATTTTTTACTATATATTTTGGTCAGGACTACATTTAGATTTTAAAAAGGTGGTATTTGATTTTATTATATATATTTTGTTCATAATAAATTATCTTAATTTTAATATTATAAAAATAAAACTTTTCTTTATTTTGATTATTTAATGGTTGTCACAAGTTTAATTTTAATAACATAATTAATAATTGAAATGTTGGTTACGTGTTATTCACTAGTAACGAAGATATTAGAGTAAAAAGCTTTTATTATGTAATATAGTTTTTTTTCGAACCAAACACCAAAATCTAATATTTATATAAAATGAAGAATCATCTATTGACAAAAATCTATACTTATCCAAAGATCATTTTTTCTCTCACAATCTAAGTTTTCACGAGCCAAACGCCTACTTACACTTAATCATTTTGATTAGGTCAAAACAAATGAAAAAACTTATATTAATGTAAATAGATCCCTTGTAATAGCTATATTGAATTCTTTTAGTTTATGTATGGATTAAAATTTGTAAAGAAAAAGAAAGGAAAATTAAAGAAAAGGTTTTAAAGAAAAAGAAATAATAGTTCATTCATTTGTTTGGATAATTAAAATGAGTTAAGGAAAGGAAATGAATGAATTGATCACAACCTTTACTTGGTTAAGTTATGAAAAGGAAAGGAAATGAGATATTTTATTATATTGCTCCAATTATAACTTTTTAAAATAAATTATTTTTCTATCATACGAATAATCTCAATATTAACTATTTTAAATAATTTTAAAAATTAATAAAAATAATTTCAATTAAAGAGAATATTATTAATACTTAATTCATAAAAAATGTATGTTTGGAATTATTTTTATACTAAAATATTTTTTTTTCAAAATTAATCCATAAATGATAAAATTAAAAATTTATTATTTATTATTAAGATAAAATTAACCATAAATTTGTTTAAGTATTAACATTTTCTTACTGTTGTATATGTTTTATCATTTTTTTTTTGTTTTTGTTATTTAGAATTTGTGAAGTGATAATAAAATAAAATAAAAAGACCTAAGCATAAATTAAAAATATATAGAATTTGAAATTATTGGCAAAAAAAAGTTGAGTAACGACTTGCAAAAGATTTAAAGGCAGCATCAACGGTTAAGCTTGAATTTTATAATAATATTTTTTGAAAAATAATAAAATATAACAAAAACATAAAAGTTATTTTATATTTAAAAAGTTTTAATCCTTTCTTTTCCTTTTTGTTTATCCTAATTTGAGGTAGTTATAACTTAGAGCTTTTTAAGGGAAAGGGAGGCACGCTCAATTTCTTTTTCAAATTATAAACCAAACAAAAGAAAAGATTTTTTTATTTCTCCAACTTTTCTTTCCTTTCCTTTCCTTTTCTCATCTTCTCTTAACCTTAAGTCAGGTCCATGAGTTATGGCATGAACGACTGAGGAGAAGGGAAGTCTATGATGTTTAAACTAACCATGAAAAACTTCTGACATGAGCTTGACTTTGATCAGAAATGGTTCAGAAAAACAATCAGTTCTGCTGATCCAAGTCATGGATAGAGAAAAGAAGAAGCCCTCCTTTTCTTCCTATAGTCAAAAGTTCAAAAAGCACTATTTTGAAATACGTTAACCCTTTGAAAAACAAGATTTAAACTTAAGGCTAACAAATCAGAAAAGAAGAAGAAACAAAACTACAAGTACCAGACAACCCCACTTCCCTTGGGTAATATTAATCAACAAGAGAGAATTTCTGGGTCCCAAACCATAGACCAAAACGACAACAATTAGGCCAAATGATAAGCAAAGTCATCTGATCTGATCTAATTGCTAGAAATCTGCTTTTGAGGATATGTAACAAGTCATTTCAAGCTTCTGCCCCTGTCAAAGATAAGCTCTGAAAAAACTTGACCTTAGGTTATGCAACAAGTTGTTTAAATCCAAAATGAAACAAAGGATTTAGTTAAAGATAAACAATTGAAGAGTCAGGTTTGGATCAAGATTCAAAATCATATCACTTGGGATCATAACATTTTGAATGTTATGAATTTGGATTCTTAATCATTAACGTTGATCCTTTTATTTAATTATGTCCTTTTTTTTTTTTTTGTATAAAGAAAGTCAAAATCTTAGGTAAGGGGAATTTATAATTGCAAGTGCTTGTTGGAAAATCCAACTTTCTTGGAACCATTTTGCTTGAATCCCAACCATTACTGTTTTAAAAGTAACAAGTTAGTTCATTAAAATTAGGCATGACTTTTCAATGTGGTAAAGAAGGGTTCTAAGAAATCCCAAAGAAAATGTTCTAGGCTATACAGTTTCTCTAAGTTGACAAAGTCTTAGAAATATCTCACCTTGTTCAAGCTTTTCATCATGAGTAATTAGAACTTCTAGACCTCCTAAGTGTTTCAACTCATGTGATATAATTGTTTCTTTTAACAAGGAAGTTTCCACAAAGCTCGATACTCAATTGAAGTTTTATTTAATTCATTCCACTAATATGAATAACAAAATATTTTTCAAATATATTTTAAATCATTTGATTGCAACTTATTTCTTTTTTAGATAAATGAAAAAAATTTTGGTTGCCTTGACTTGAACTTGGTTCTCCGTACTGAAAGTCGAATACCCTAATCAACATTGCAACTTACTAGAGACGTTAATTTCATCCAAATCTGATGTAAAATCTAATTTTTTATTTTAATAAAAATAAAAATGGATATTAAATTTTGGTGATGGAAATAAGAATATAATGATTTTAAATTTTTTATTGGATACGAATATATAGATGAATAATAAAGTATCTTGTATTTTTCTTGTACTCGTATCTTATATATTTAATAAATTAATTTTTTATTAAATAATATAAATTTTATTTTGAATTTATTAGAACTATTATATTTATAAAAAAATTATTTAAATATATAAGATAAAAATTTTAAAAACTAAAAAATAATTTTTTTTTATTTTTTAAAAACAATAACTATCGATACTCATTAAATATGCACGAAAATAAAGATGAAGATAAATTTAAAATATTCATTGAATATGAACATAAAAATAGATATAACATAAAAAATCAAGAATAAAGATAAAAAATATTTTACCTTACTTATATTCTACCGATTGACATCCTACAACTTCACTTTCATTATTAAAAATTTGAATTTTTACATTGATCTAGTATTTCTTTTTATCTGGAGATCTAAAAAAAATTTGAACCTACTTTTGGAACAGAAAAATCATGTACCGAGTGCTTAGGTGTCCATTAATATGATATTTTAGATATAAAGATATATATATAAAAAATTACGTCTTAAAGGTTTATTTATTAATATTAAGCCTTGGAATGTCATATTTATTAATTAACTTATTGTATATCATTTTTTTTTTCATTCTAAATTCATATATGAAAATATTTTTCTGTTCAAAAACTATAATGAAATCATGGAGGTTCATTTAATCAATTATAAAATGTCTGTATAAATAGAACAAATAATGGAGAAATAAGTAGTTATGCAACTCAATATTAGCTAGTATACTACCCATGTGATGTTTGTACATAAGGCAAATTTAAGTTACATTATTATGCTTTAATGTAACCAAAAAAAAAAAATCAAAAGGTACATTTCATCAATAAATTATTGGTATTATAAGTTTTTTGAACAAATTCTTCACATTATACTATAATACTAAAATTAACGGTGAATTAAATCCGAAAAAAGAGATAACATTTAGTAGGTTTGAAATTTAAATCATAATATTTATAATCTTTTCTCTTCTTTTTTTTCTAAATTACGATATCTTTTGTATAAAAAATAAAATAAATTAATATGATATTATTATTTTACAAAGTCAAAATGAAGTCACTGTACATATATATTAACTCATTCATAAAAGTTTAGGTATAACAATTAAAGTTAAAAATGATCGGATTGTTTTCTTAATCGAAAAATAATTCAACTCGATCGTATTCGATCCAATTTGTCACCTTTGGGTATAAGTACATTTGTTGATTTAAATTATTAATTAAACATAAAAATGTTAGAACTAGAGGGTTTTAGTAGATTTATACTTTAATTAGTAACTTTACAAATACATGTTTTTTCAATAAAAATTTTAAATATATATTAAAAACTTTACTTCTTTTTTTTTTTATATAAATTACAAGAATAAGGAAAAGTTACAATTAACATAAAATAGTATATGGCATATTAAAATTAATAAATTAAAGTAAATGAACAAATCAATCGACGAACCAACACATAGATAAATTAATCATAAAATTGAATCAAAGTGAACTAGAGGTTTAACTCAATTGATCTTTATAATTATTATTAAAAAATAACATTAGATATATTTAAAATTTAAATATCAAATTTTATAATTTTTTTTGTTCATATTGCTGACTTATTTTATATAAAAAATAAAATAATTTACGCATGATAAAATTTAAATATAAATCTTTATGATTTCAGATTTTTTTTTATTATTAAAATAATATCTCATTGACAACTTTACTTTTATTTTGTTTGCCTAAAAATTCAAAGTGCAAGTTATAATATATATCTCTAAATGGAAAAGTAGAAAAAAAAGTGAATGTTACCAACAAAAAAAAAAGGTCGGGTTAACCAAACCGGCCAAAAACAGTGTTTGGTTCATGACAAGGTGGCGTGACTGGCGTGGACGTGAGTTACACGAAGTTGGGGGGCCAAAAAACGACAGAAAGTCAAAACGTTAATGCTACCTACCAATCGGTCCAACGCGCGTAATTTTCATCAAAATTTCTTCATCCCTATAAAACTTTACGTCGAAAATCACAAAACGCGAAATAAAAAAAAAGTTTAAAGTTCTTCTTTTCATATTCTTCCCTTTTATCACATCGCCAGCTCCGCCTGCGCCTGGCTCCTTTCCTCCTCCTCATTTCATTAGATTCTCTCGGCCATGAAGCAACGTAGCCCCAAGAAAATCTCCCTTAAATGGATCCCATTCCTCTGCATCTCCTTCTTCACTCTCGGAATTCTCTTCAGTAACAGGTCTCTCTCTCTCGCTTTGAATCCTTTTGATTTGTCAATTCTTTCTTTGCCTTTTTCTTTTATTTTGGATTGATTGATGAACTGGGTCAGTGTTGTGCATTTTCTTTTTCTTTCATTCTTGGGGTGGAGTTTGTTTTGATATCTTGATAGCCATTCTATTTTGTCTACAGACTGTGGGTCCCACCTGAATCCAACGGTCAGCTCTTGTCACAACATCGACGAGAACAGGAGTTGCAGATTGTCTCCGAGGATTGCGATACTAAGAAAGTATGTTATCTATTATTTTCACTATCACAGTTTAACTTCATTTTTTAAATTTTCTTTTTCTTTAAAACAATTTTTTGGTTTCTAAAGGAAAGTTTCAATATGTTACAGAAGCCTGCACAAGATAATGATGTAATGGGTGAAGTTTTGAAAACCCACGAAGCAATTCAGTGAGTATCAGTTTGGGTTCTTATTGTTTTAGTTAAAAATTTATTTTTCATTTTGGAAAAGTCTTGGCTAATAATTTCTTTGTAATTTTGATCTTTGATGAGGCCTCACAGTACACTAGACAAGTCAGTTGCAATGCTTCAGATGCAGATAGCTGCCTCACATAGTTCTCAGGAAATGGAGGACTTGAATGCCTCCAGTGCTGTCTCAGCCTTGGATGATGGCCCACCGAAGAAGAAAGTGTTTATGGTCATTGGGATTAACACTGCTTTTAGTAGTAGGAGGCGGCGTGATTCTGTCAGAGAGACTTGGATGCCACAAGGTTTTGTAGTTTCCATAGCTTTTTGAGGTTTTTATATTTGATTAGTTTGTTAGTATTTAATATCCCAAATGAATTCTTATGTTTATGTTTGGCCAGGGGAAAAGCTTTTTCAGTTGGAGCACGAGAAGGGGATTGTCATTCGTTTCATGATTGGCCATAGGTAGATCATCTTTATGCTCTTTGTTCAGTGCATACTTTTGAAAGCAAGGCTTGAGCAAGAGAAAACTTTAGTTTGAATTTAAAAATTTTGATTAATATTCACTATTCTTGGCACAAACGCTGAGTTTGAAGTAGGTATTGGAATGATTGGCAATGTTAAGCAAGTGACACTTGTTACAATGTGATGAATATGGGATAAATGTACTTGCTTCAGTATGATTTGAACTGACATAAGTTGTATCTGCATTGTTTGACCTAGTGCAACATCCAACAGCATTTTAGATAGAGCTATTGATTCAGAGGATGCTCAGCATAAGGACTTCCTTAGACTGGTTAGACAGCACTGCCGCAATAATTTTGGATATTCTTATGAGATATTATGGCATTTCATACCAATAGCTGGTTTCAATCTTATAATACAGGAGCATGTTGAAGGATATCACGAATTATCTGCAAAAACAAAAATTTTCTTTTCTACTGCAGTTGCACAATGGGATGCTGAGTTCTATGTCAAGGTGGATGATGATGTCCATGTAAATCTTGGTACGTTTGTCATCTCCTATTTCATTTTGTTTTTGTTATCGAAGATATTTAACACCCTACATAAATGTGAAGAAAAATTTTTGAGTGTTTCATGAGTTGAATTTCTTATGCATATTTTCTCAAAGGTATGCTAGCTGCAACTCTTGCCCATCACCGTTCCAAACCCAGAGTCTATATTGGGTGCATGAAATCTGGACCTGTTCTTTCGCAAAAGTAATATCCTGGTGATCTTTTATTGTTGATACTGTTACTGTTCAATTTGCTTTGCTCCCTGCTGCAAATTTGTTATGTAACTTTTGTTGAATTCCTTTACATTCTTTAGGAATGTCAAGTACCATGAACCAGAGTACTGGAAATTTGGAGAAGAGGGGAACAAATACTTTCGACATGCAACTGGGCAGATATATGCAATTTCAAAGCATCTAGCAACCTACATCTCCATAAACCAGTGAGAACTTTGATTTTTGTCTGAAAGTAGCCTGTTTTATGTTTCTATATTGCTTTGCCTTATTAAGGATTCTGATTTCATCTTCATGGCCCTTGTTTGTGTGGGCATTTGGCAGTGCCTTTACAATCATCCCCTTCCTTGACTTCAGTTTTCTTGTTGTTTTCATTTTTCTCCAAGTTTAATCACTTAGCTATTTTTTATTACTTCGAGCATAGCAGTACTCAAAACATTGAAAATCTTTCTTCATATTGCATAAATTCTGTTAAAATTGGGAACCATTCAAGTCCTTAAATAAGTGTAAATCCAAATGAAAATGCCTAAGAACATTGAAATGCTGATCAAATTTATATCCTTAGCCTATATGGCCAAATCAGATTAGATGTTGTAAATTTGCATCTTTGAACTTCTGCACCCGATAATATTCTGCCTTAAAAGAGGCATGGCTAATATTCAGAGTGATACTGATTGATTGCAGGCCTATATTGCATAAGTATGCTAATGAAGATGTGTCCCTTGGTTCATGGTTTATTGGCCTTGAGGTTGAGCACATAGATGATAGGAGTATGTGCTGTGGGACTCCACCAGGTAATCTTCTTGAAGAATATAAATAATTTAATCTTGTGCCAAACTTTATATGAAATAGAGTTAGTTCAAGCTACCATGAGGACCAATAAATGGAAAAAAGGAAGTAAGGATGATGGATTACATGTTTATACAATGGTAACAGATGATTAGATGGGTTGCATTTGCACTCAAGGGCTTCTTGCTGTCGAAGTCTAGCAATTGTAATATATTTTTTTTGGATTTGTTTTATCAAGTGTTTGAGTTTGTGTTATGCATAGCAAAGTATGCAACCCATATTCATCCAAAGTTGTTACAACTTATTAGGTTGAACCTTATTAGTGTTGCTCTGAATAAGGAAGTTAACATTCTTTTCTAGTTTGGTCTTCCCTCTAACTCATGTTTGTTTCCTGCACCACAGATTGTGAGTGGAAGGCACAAGCAGGTAATGTCTGTGTTGCATCATTTGATTGGAGTTGCAGCGGAATCTGCAAATCAGTGGAGAAGATCAAAATTGTTCATGAAAGGTGTGGCGAAGGGGACGATGCAGTTTGGAACAATTTATTCTAAATTAATTTGGATAGGAAGGTTTTCGTGGCCAAACAAGATTAAGCATTTGTGGTTGATGATCAAGGAGAAGCAGTTTTCGCCAGTTAGGTAGGAGAAAACAGTGCATCTGGTTTCGGTACATATCTACAAACACATTTTCCCAACATTTAGGGGAAATCAATACGAAAATGGTAAACAAAGATAGGAGCTGATTTCCAGAAAAGCTTATAGTAGCATTCAACATATCTTTCAATTCTTTTGTTGGGGTTTAAGAGGATATGATGGTATGTTTGTACTCAAAAATTGCTATAGTTTTTTTTTTTTTTTGTCTCATTTTGCATAGAAATTAGATATGATGTGTAAGGGAGGTGAATAGAATGGTGGTCCAAAACTCCAAAAGCTAATGTATGGCCACATTTATAGAAGCTTGTAAAAGGTTGCTGCTGCTACAATTTTTGAATGCTTTTATGAGAATGGTAAACGTGATGAAGACCAAATAAATCTGTAATCAGTTCCCCACTGGAATCAATCATCCCTTTCCAGGGAAAGCCAATGTTTTTATTTTATAATTTTATTAGTAGTAATTGCTAAATGCTTTTTTGAAAATTATGAAATTCTGGTGATAATTATTAGTAGTAACTTTTTTTAATATTGCTGATTTTTTAATCATCAAATATAAAAATTATTATATTATAATTTATATTTATACATAAATATAAAATATATTTCTTATTAAAATTTTAAACTATAGTTTTATTAAAATTATATAAATTTTATTAAAATTTTAAATTATATGACAGAAGAGAGACTAGAAAAAAAATATAAGAACCCAACAAAAATCACATTACAACTTACTCAATTTAAATCCCATTTTATTTATAAATTTCCAATTATTTTTTTAAAAAATTTTGTAACTTTTCAATCCTCTGCAACCGCACCTGCACCTGCACCTTCTATCGCGCACTCCTGAATAGAAGACTTCTCTTCTAAGCAAAAGTTCTCTCTGGTTCTCTCGTCTCTGATCAACCTGAGCTCAGAAATTGTCAAATATTTGGACGGTGGTTAGCAAAAAATGGAGAACGCCGACATTTTCTTAGGATTGCAAGATTTTCTAGAGCGTATGCGCCAGCCTTCCGCTGCTGAGTTCGTCAAATCCATTAAAAGGTCCTCTAAATCTTTGATTATTTACTCTTTCTTTTTCTTTCCAGTGGTCATAGTTAAATGTATATAAAGACTTAAGTTAGAACGTGATTTCTGACGAATTGGAAGTGATTCTTAAATGTTGGTTTCATCGATGATTTTATCGTTGATGGCTTGAAATTCAAGTAAAATTCCCGATATGGAAGCTGTTTTTTTGTAAATTAATTGCCAAATAAAGCCTAATTTTACTTTCAGAAGGATTGGTATGTTTCCTGTCTGGCAATCATCATTTCTGTATTTTGACTTTTGAGTTGGACGTGTCGCCATATTGCAGTTTCATAGTTTCGTTCTCCATCCATGCTCCTGAGCCCGAAAGGGATAGTACTGCCGCACAGGCGTTCTTTGCCAAGACGGAAGCTGCTTTTCGAGCTCATCCGCTTTGGGCTGGATGTTCAGAGGAGGAGCTGGACAGTGCTGGTGAAGTAAGTTGCTGATACTAATTGTACTTCTATATGCTTAGGTCATGTTTGGTGCATTAAATTACTGAACTTTTTTTATGTTTAGGCAACTTCTTTTATGAAAGGGAAAATTCTTTGCCTGGGGTTGATGTATTTACTTTTTTTTTTTTTTTTAAATACAGGGATTGGAGAAGTATGTTATGACAAAGCTATTTACCCGTGTGTTTGCTTCACTTCCAGATGATGTGAAACATGATGAGCAACTTTCTGAGAAGATGGCTCTTCTTCAGCAATTTGTTCAGCCTGAGAATTTGGATATTAAGCCAACCTTTCAGAATGAGACATCATGGCTGGTAAGTGGTGGAATTCATGTTTCAAGTGATTTCCTCTTGCAGTATGTAGTAACTTCGCCTTCTGCGTTTGCTGTTTCTGTGAAGTATTTATGTTTTTGCTGTGTTTGACATTCTATTGTTTTGAGAACCCTTTTAACATTTTGTAGAGTATACTTCTAGATATCTTCCATGCAAATAATGAAATGATTTTAGTATTGACTGGAAATAACAAAACATTTCAAGGTGTTGACTCCTTTGAAGTTAAGAATTGATGGTTTTATCTAGAAATCAGGAGTGAACTCCTAGTTAATAAGAAGCTGCTAGGGGTTATCAAAAGTCCATCATGTTGAAGCCAACAAAAATAATAACATGTTTGTTAGATGCGTCCAAGGACAGAATGTTGATAGGTACCAATTGTAATACCCTAGCCCAAATGATAATTGAGCTGGACTATTACCAAAATGCATTAGTTTATTTTAGAGATTAATTACTAAAAAAAAAAAGTGATTGAGATATTTTATGAGAGAAAATCTAGCCATTTTTGTTTAATGTGAAACAGGAAAGAAAATGAGAGTTATTCCTCCTCGTCTTCTTTAGGGTTAGGGAGTTTGAAAAATCAAGTTGGTATTTGAAATCAAAGGCTACAATCGTATTAATCACCTAAAGGTGAGTATACACCCTTTTTTTATTTAAGAAAAATATCACGTTGATTATTGTTATTTGGAGTTGAAGTTTATAAGGGAAAAACCTAGAAAATTTATAAAATCTCTCATTAATCTTCATAATCTATTTGGGTAAATTATTAGGTTTTGTTTACTTCATGTTATTAAGATTTAATGATGATTACTGAGTGGATTTTAAAGGCTGAAAGTGGGGATTTGAGTTTTTAAAGATTGAAAAAGAAATTTTCTTTTGGATGAGATGCTATTATTTACAACAGTGAATTAAAATGAAATTCTGTATTAATTGATAAATTATTACGAAAAGTATTATATATCGTTGGAAAGCTTGTTAAATCTACTTTCTAATGAAATAAACAAAAGTCAATTCCGAGTTTTCTATGAAGAGTTGTTTGATTTTTACTTCAGGATGTGTAGGCTGCTTAACAGAAATAGCAGCAGGGAGGAATTACAGAAATTCTTTATTTTTATAAAATGAATTACGAATGGAGCCATATATCTTTAGAAAGCATATTGAGTCTACTTTCCAACAAAACAAGCAGAACCGAATTCCGAGACTCCTATGAATGAATATTAAATTTTTACTAAAACGTATACATGCTGTCTGTCAGCAGCATATAACATGAATTGCAAAAATTATTACAACTAATCTATAAGGAATTACGAGGTAGGCCATATATAGTTAGAAACCTTATCAAGTCTAGTTTCCAATGCACTAAAAAGATCTTAATTCCGATTTGTATATTTTGAGATATGGTCTTTCTAATGAAAGAAGTGCAGGCAACCAGCATTAATTAGTTGAGTTAACTCTTGTATTATTTAGTTGTTTTAATATAAATTACCTCTAAAAGGGTTGATTCATTTATGATATGTTGAAATGACTTTGAATAGGCCGTTAATTATTTTGGAAAAAAAACTAAGTAGTGGAATCTAAAGAAGGTAATTAGAATCTCACACACTTTGCTTATTTTTGAACTTATATATATATATATGCATGTTTCTAAATCAGTGAAGATTTTTTTTTTTTTATGTTTTCAATACATAAAAATAGGATCAAGCGTATGATTATTTTGCATTTTGCTATATAATTGATGAATCATGCTTATGAATGAAATTTGAAATTGGATTATGTTTAAATAATGATTTTATGATAGCTACAATTTTTCATCCTTAGGAAGTGGGATTATCAACACCTAAACTAGTTTTATGACTGTGGCTAATGGATTATAGTAGTTAGCATAGCCATTATCATATGGCCCAAGCTAATAGGTTATAGTAGTTAGCATAAGGCCTTGGCTGGTAGGATATAATAGCTAGCAATGATAATGAGGATGAAATTATCGATACGGCCATTATCACGGGTTATAGCCATGACTATAGCAAATGATGAACTAACAATAATGATAATTTGTGAGGATGAATTTATGATTTTAAAGATTGATCCATGATTTGTATAAACAAAGATTATGAAAAGAATTGATGATGATTTATGATGATTCTAAAGATTGATTAATGGTTTGGTTTGATTACAATATTTGTATGACAACATATGTTGCAATGATTTACGAATTGATTGTTTTAATCTGTAGTATGTATGAAAATGATGCTTGATCATATAAAGGGTGTGAGCCTATACTTGCTAAGTTGCGGTTTGCTCATTCCCCCTTTACTTTCTCTTTACAGATGATTAAAATGATAAGTATGGTTAGTATTGTGGGAAGCTAGAAGAATCTATTCATTGGAGACATTATTTGGCGAATAAGATTTTATGAAAGAATGTTTTTTTGAGTTGTATTAGACGACATTAACTTTTTGGAGACTTTTTATTTAGTTGGTTTATAGATATTAAATTTACTTGAGCACATTATTTTATTTGAGAATTTTTCAATGATTATGGAAAAGGTTTCGTATTGCTTTGGGGTTTTACTTCAAGATAATATGGCCGTCATGTTTTAGTCTTAGAGTGTGACACCAATGGTATCATCATGTCCTTAATTTCTTTAGGGCCAGGAAGATGGAACATCTAAGTGCAAAAATTCTCATGAAGGAAGGAAAGTTCATCTTATTGGTAGGAATGTCTCTTTGTAGAGAATCTATTTTCCTTAATGGATCCCTGGTTTGAGCCCAAAAGAGCTTCTGATAATTTATCTTACATGGTAGATTCTTGCATGCCTTAATCCCAGCTTAAGATAGAAGTCTAAATTTGTCTTGAACTCATTGTAGAGCACTCCCATGGCATGACCAAATGAGGGCTGTGCACTCATGAAGTGGTTTTCTAATGCTACGAGGCCTTGTGCCTTGATAACATGGCAAGACATTGCTGATATCTATACTTAGAAGGCAGCTGATAAGTTTCATGTCCTTTTGAACATATGCTTATTTACATTTTAGATATTCTACAGAAGCAAAACCATAACCATTGACACATATGTGCATACTTGAAGATGCATAATATATAACCATATATAGCTGTTATTTTATCTTGTTTGATACCTCTATTTTTTTTGTTTTTCAGTTTTGCTCCTTATTATATAAAATATTCACCATTTTTGGGGATCTTCATGCCTCACTAATTTTTATTTCTCTATAAACTCTACATCTGATCGATGATATCATCTTGAGCAACAGTGAATTTATTTGATCATGTAGCTCACTCTGACACAGTACTTGTAGCTCCAATAGTTTTATGGCTAATTTTTTGTTGTACTGACAATTAAATAAATGCTATCAAAGTAATGTATCAGTTGAAAGCTGAAGGTCCAGGCTTATTTGGCTGCATTTATAGAATGTTGTCCTTAGAAATATTTTCAGCATGAGAACAGCCACGGGTATTTAGTTTTGGGTGCAAGATACGTTGGAAGTTGATTGATAAGTTTTTCTCTTTTACTCGAAGTAGGTTTGTTAGATTTGCTGAATTTTATCAACAAGAGAGGCTGATAGTAATGTAGATATAGGATTCTGTTTTCTATAAATGACTATTCTTGGTCTGAACCAGTTACTTATTGCAAGTTGTCTACAATCTCTTCCCCCACCAAAAAAATCAATGTCCATCAATACTTTGTCTTGCATTTAACTTATGATCTACTAACTATTGGGCAGTTGATCCTATCATATTTTCTGCCTCTACTTTTTCTTGTTTCAAGAACATATATTTATCACGTGCAAATAATGTCCCAACATTTGAGTACTGTTTGATTATAGATCTGGTTTATTTCTGAAAAAGTTTTTAATCAATGAAGCTTGTATATTCTATCTTGTAGTCTCGATCCTAAATCTATACTTTATGTTGCCAGCTTGCACAGAAAGAGTTACAAAAAATCAATATGTACAAGGCTCCAAGAGACAAGCTTGTGTGTATCCTCAATTGTTGCAAGGTTATCAATAATTTATTGCTGAATGCTTCAATTGCTTCAAACGAGAATCCTCCTGGAGCTGATGAATTTCTTCCTGTTTTGATTTATGTTACCATAAAGGTAAGATCAGTATTTATGCAGGATTGGTTTGTTTAGTTGATTATCCTTCCATTTAGAAAATGATTAATAATGTATCCTTCTCGTGGCATACGTTATGTAGGCAAATCCACCACACCTACACTCAAATTTGTTGTATATACAATGCTATAGACGTCAATCTCGATTAGTTTCTGAAGCAGCCTATTTTTTCACTAACATGCTCTCTGCCGAGTCTTTCATCTCAAATATTGATGCAAAAGCCCTTTCAATGGAGGAAACTGAGTTTGAGAAAAACATGGAGTTTGCTCGAGCTCTTTTATCTGGCCTTTCAACAGATTTGGATGGTTTGTCCAGTCAAATTGACCAAATTGCTGGACATGATCCCCCGGAACCTGCTGAACCCAGATGTCAAACTCTTGAGGACCATGCTATACGACCCAAATCTTCTGAAATAAAACCTTCAAGTATAGAAGATCAGTCGTCAATCACTAAAATTCCATCAATATCAGACTTGGAGAATAGAGGGGCAATTATGCTTCTGAAGGAGGCTCAGGCGAGCAAAGTGTTTCGAGAGCACCCATACATGTTTGCTCACGCTGGTGACTTGACTATCAATGATGTTGAAGACCTGCTAAGTAACTATAAACAACTCGTGTTCAAGTATGTTTGTCTTTTGAAAGGATCGGCTGGTGGTTCTGCAACTTTTCCTTTGTCCGGTTCACAAGCTCAAGCTGAACAACATGTTGGAATAGTGAAGGAAACTGAAGGTAATAGAATGATAGAACAAAATATTGGGTTGCAAAACGATACCAACAGGGTGGATGATGATCCAAATGGAGTTTCTAATCAAGAAAATATCAAATCCAACTTCCCAAAGGAAGAGGCCATTGCATCCTCAGAGGGCAACCATGATGACACCTCTGAACAATAGCTGATTGGAAAATATTTTTTCTGGATCATGTTGGTCCTTTCAATGTAGCTGTAACCAATCCACTAGGGTTTTTTGTTTCCAATTGATGCCGTGAATGGAATGATGTCGTAAGTTGAAATCAAAAGGCAATGGCGGACCATCTTTTTAACCTTGAACTTAAATGACAGAACATTTAGCTGTCTAAAGAGAGAGAACCCAGGAAAGGTGGTGAGGTTAGCATTTGGTTTGAGAATTCATCATGCCTTATAAATGTAAAATTTTTTTTGCAGTAAGTGCCTTGGTCCAACTCAGCAAGGCGTTGTTCCAGCACAAATACATGATAGGTGCGATTCCTGTATCATCTTTGTACACTATGTTTTTGTTTCTGAAAAGTAGGAAGATTTAAACTTGGAACTTATGTTGTGAAGCAAGGTGTGGCAACCTTTTGAATTATAGACCAATAATGCCCTTTTTTGTCCTTTACTATAAAATGATTATATATAATCATTTCTTTATTATCCAATTTACCTCTTTTTCTAATTTGACGAGGATTTGCTACTCTTCTACAAGCAAATACTAATACATCTTTGAATAGAAGTGATTGCACGTATCACTTCTATTTTTTATGTTTTTGAAAAATTCGATGTCGGGGATAAAAATGTCATTAAAATTTACAGATCTTTACTTTACCCAATTTGTATTTCTGATCAACATGGTATTCCTTGATGTTTTTAAAAAAGTGTACAACTATAACAATATATTTTTGGATCATGGTTTTTGTCTACCGTTGATGTCAGACTACAGAGAAGAAAGGGGTTCCATGTTGATCATACAACAACATACACTGTCAAACAATCAATTAGAAGTTAGAAACTTATATATGAATTGAATCAATTTAGGACCACATGGATTGGAGACATGGTGGATAGGACAAAGGATTGGTCAAGGAATCTTTCTAATGCTAATTTCTGTTATTCCTAATTCCTCTAGCTATTCCATTTCAACTTTCCATTTCAGGTCACTCACTATATATTATCTTTACACTTCTATATTTGATGGAAAATTGTATCTTAAACTTAAACATGTATGACATAAATAATGCCTTTCAATTATTAAAATATCACAGATGATTAGCTCAGAATAATCTTTAAAATATACTAAAAGGAAAAAATGCTAAAAGGTGTCTAATTACACTTGCTTTTTTTTTTTAGATAGTCTAATCACACTTGTTAACTATACCCTTTGTTAGGAAATGTTTTTACATGCATGCACTGTTTTCCTCAAATTGAAAAAGAGATAATAAATTTATGAGTTTATATTTGATGCATTGTTAGTATATAAAATTTATATACTAGTAGTAATTGATATCACCTTATTAATTAGTAATTATTAATTCTTAAAATAAATATATAAAAATTTATTTATTAATGAGATGATATAATCTAATTTATTTATGATATTATGTGATTTATTAATAATATATAAAATTTATGTACTGATAGTTTATCAAATATAAATATTAAACTTATTACAAATTTATTTCTTTAAAAATATTATTTTAATTTGTAGCACTAATCACCCTTAACATAAGTTAAATATATTCTTCTGATCGATGCATTAAAATTGATCATATTAATTACTAATTATTGTGTTTAATAGAGGAATATAATGCTAAGCAAAGAAGGCACTAGGAAGATAAGAGGATGGAATGGCGGAAGCTCGTAAAAATGAACTATTACTTCTACTACGAAGCAAAGCCCAACTTTCACGTGCTCTCCACATTTTGAAGTACATGGTCTGTCGGCTGAGCTGTAAGCAAGGATCTTCGTATTGGAAAAAAAAAATTAGAAAAAATTGATTTAAAATGGTAGTTGTTCGATTGATTTGAATCGATTTTTTTATTTGATTTAAATTAAATTTAAATATTTAATATATATAATTTAGATTAAAATATAAATTAAATTAAATTAAATTATATGTTTTAAATTTTTATAAAATAAAATAATTATTTTATATTTAAATTTATTTAAATATATAAAAAATTATATTAAAATAATATATAAAATAAAAAATTAATTTTAAAAATTAATTAATTTAACTGATAAAATAAAATAAAATATAAATTGGTTTCAAAAAATTTAATTTATATTCAAATTAAAATTATTCATTATTTCTAATTTAAACCGTTTTCATCCCTATTTTCTTATGAATTTTTTATTTTTTATATCCTTATCTCTCCACGTTTACGGCTCCCCATTCTTTAGCCTCTCCTAATCTGATACTCCACGTGGATTAATTTGCCTTTGATTGATCAGATTCACTGCATGTCAACGGCTACGATTAGTCTTTAGTTCTTTCTAATCGACGGTAGTGATAAATATTCAAAAAGGTCTATGACGTGGAACCGTCTCAGTGTTTTGCGTAGGCTTGTTAGCAGGTAAACCGCCGCCATTTTGAAAGTTGAGAGAAATTAATTAAGAAATAGAACCCAAAAAAAGAGATTTATTTTTTTAAAAAATGAAATTTACTTTTGGGGCAAATTTCATTTATATATACAAAAACATAAATAAACTTAAATAATGTATTTATTTAGGACAAATATATTTCTTCAATCTTATGTTAAGATGTAAATATTGAAAATATCTCCCTCAATAACAATGTTACTTAAGAGTAAACTCCATGATATATAATTTTAAAAAACAGAAAAATAAATATAATTTACAGTTAATTTCAAAAATTAAAATATATTTAAATAACAATATTACTCAATATATGAAAACGACAAACATAAATGCCATGTCGACTAATTTTTAATGTTATGTTGCATTTTTGCTGGTGGACTTTTTGACTCCATGTTTAATGTTTATTCTAAAATTTCTAAACAAAAACGAACGTTCCATGAGTTTCACATGAATTTGCAAACAAACAACCTGGTATGATGCGGGGAAATACGACAGACATTTTGAGAATCTTGACCACCAATTCAATCCATTTCTATTTGAATTCAAATTTGAATGCTTTTATTTTTTTTTTCCTTTTTTCTTTTGGAAAATACGATGATTTTTGAAATTATTAAAAAATGCTAAGAAGTTCATAGATAAAAAGAGATGGGAATAAAAATAAAGAAAAATATCTTTGAAATTATTTTTCTATAAACATTTTATCATCGGATCACTTTAAATTGATTTTTTTTCAAATCAAAGTCTATAACAAGCATAATCTAGACCAATTTACTGAGTGAAACCGGCAAATTTTTTTTTTTTTTTTTGCATACATAATTACAAGAGTAAAAGAAGGAATGCAAAGAATTATGGCTTCAACTTGAAATGGCAAATTGACAACACTATGGATCTCAATCAAAGGAAACAGAGGAGGGGTCAGCATTATGATTTACAATCAGTAGCGTGTAAACATGGCAGAATTGGATTGGTGATTGGGGTATTTTCCTTTAGAAGAAGAAACTTCAATGCAAGTTGGGGGACCTAAAATAAATAATTGTGGGCAGTAGCTTTCATTAATTTTACAGCATGCTTTACTTACCAGTCTTCAAGAAACCAAAATAATGGTCCTGTTCACGCCTCTCAAACTTATGTAACCAAACAAAGAAAGCTTCAAGTTATTACATCTAAGTAATAGTAAGTAGAAACTCACTTCTATTTGTCCCTTCTGTTTTTTAATAACAATTTTGAAGACTAAAACAAGAAAATTTATAGTTATAATAATGGGAACTTCGCAAAAAGTACAATACTTTGTTCATATTTGACAGACTCAACACGACTTTGACAAACTCAACCTCTCCTTAACAACTACTTGAAAGCCTTCTCTATTCATCTTCCCCCCTTAACTCCCAATCTCTCCCTTTCTCTCTTCATTTCTTTTCTGTTTGGTTGTTGTTAGCCATATCTGTTCTACTTTCTTAAGAGAAAATCAGGAGATGGGAAATGGATATAACCATCATCTTCACCACCAGAATCTGCAGCTTAATCACAAGGGAACTTTTTTGCCAAAGTTGTGCTCAAAGCCATCCATTAAAGATGTGACCGTTCCAACATGGCATGACAGGTCTGCCTCCTTCTCTGATGACCCTTTGTCTCCAAAGATTAGTTGCATGGGACAAGTCAAGAGGAACAACAGGATTGTTGGGTTTCCTGCTTCTCACAATATCACCACCAGGAATAGCTGCAACAATAGTAGTATCAAGTATTTCAAGCTCAAGAAGCTGTTTTCTGGCAAGAATCTAGCCAGCAGCCCTGCCACCACCATCACAAATACTACCACCAGTGGCAGAAGAAAAGAAGTGTTAGTAAATGGTACAAGCAGGCCCAAGAATGGTGATGGAAAAGAGAATTCTGCTTCAATCAACATTGAAAATATGGATCCCCCTTTGCCTGTGATCAAGAGAGTGCCTAAACAAGGTGATAAAGGAAATGGAGATACTCTTTGGCAGAGGAGATCAGGTGGGGTTACATTGAAAAGCTTACAGCTTCAACAGATTCAACCTAGCAAACATCAAGAACCAACCACTTTTTGATAAGAAAAAGTAGGAAAAGAAAAAACACTACAAGGTGAGACAATGCAATAGCTAATGTATATGATTTGTTTTTGTTCTTAAAATTCATATTTGATGATTGCTGTTTTCACTTCTGTATTTCAAGAGAGGCATCAAATTATGGTGATGCTAATCAAGATGTATATGAATGAATTATTCATCAATGTTCAAAGGTTTAGGCTTTAATCTCTCAAAATTACTGATAGACCCCACCGCTATATTTTCTTGCCGGTTGTTATATTAATGCCAAAATCAACGGACCATCCATTAGGGGTGTCAGATCAAGTTTCTATTCCAGATAACTTTGTCAGATAAATCATTCTGATAGCATAATGTTGCCAATGTAAAGAAGGGGCGGTGGGGGGAAGAGGGTGGTTAATGAATTCTAAAGCATAAGGCTTTGACCACTACAAACATTTGGATAACAATGATAGGGAGGACAGAACAATGTGAAATGGTTTTGTGAATGAAGCTTAATAGTCAAGAGTGATGTACGTACCAAACCAAACATTCACAACCAGACACAAGCTGTCTCAATAAAATACATTTTCCAATGTGGAAACTGAAAACTGGAAAGTTTACTGACAAGGAAAAGGCATGGGTGGTTTCTGGGCAATTTCCACATTTGTGATAAGTTCCCCAACCTTTACTTAACAAAACGTAAATAATAGTTTAGATTTGAAATGAATTCTGAAAGTGAAAGTAGATATTTTTCTGGAGAGAGTTTTGTCTTTTTTTTTTTCCATTTTAAAATGATCTTACTTTACTTTTGAAGAAAATCCTATAGAATGAGAAGGCATTTTCATGTGCAGTACGATCCAGTGGCAGCACAAGTATGGATTAAATCTTGGCCTGTTTATTATCTGAAGACTGCTAAATGGCAGAGAAAGCTCTTATTAGGCTCCTTAACCAACACAACTCATGCATTTATGTTTTGTCCAACAAATCCCCATTTTTGCAGGCAATAAAGCGGCAGTCTGGCACAACAAAAGCTTGAAAAATTAACGTTGGTTTACATGTAATATTACATGGACAAGAGGAATCAAACCTTTATCCCTAGTGTTAAAATTGCAATTAAACTGATAAGAACAGTACAATTAATTCATATTTATAGACTATTACTATATAAAATAAATAATAAAGGGCATTGATTGTTAGGCTAATGACCAAGCATAAATCTATGGTCAGCAGTCACTTTAATAGATTAAATAATCTAACATCGATTACCATGCTAGGGTTAGGATTGCATAACATCAACCCCTTTGATTATTGCCGAAGGATATTAAAGCTTGCTTAAACCCAGTGATATTTTCTAGACAAACAAAGTAGAAAATTGGAGATTTGAGTTTCAAATGTCTAACCAAATAAGGGTACCTGAAAATCTCTGTGAAAAAATATACAATGTTTGGATTAGATGGTTTGGTACTCCTTGATTCAGAAGGTCATGAGGATAGTTCTTTTAATATTCTAACCATAGATTGCTTGCACGCCAGAGTTTCAATAATAGTTTTGCTTCGGCTATAGCTTTCTAAGTCTGTTAGGACTTAATTTGTAGTTTGATGGTTGACTTCGTGGCTTCCTAGTTGCTACCTCGTCGGCACCCACATCCACCTCCACATCCCAAAAATTAATAAATAATATCAATACCATTAACAAGTAAGGGGAAGAAAAATACCCTCTGGCCTGGACAAAATTAGATCCAACTAGTAACAGGCTAAGAGCAACAAACATCCACTTCAAAAAAACTTTCCTGTGAGATTAAAACAAATGGTTATAAGAGCATTCTCAGAAGTAAAAATGATGAGATACAACTCAAAATGCAGGTGAAGAACCGGATCCGATCTCATACATAAGAGGAAAAGGGTCATTATATTGTACCCCATTCACGATGTAAAACAACATACAGGATAACTAATAAGACAAACGGATTTTAGTGCAACTCATATCTGTTTTTTTTTTTTTTTTTTTATTTATTTTTTATAAAGAATATTATAGTTAAAGACAGGGGAAGGAATTTTAAATAGAATTAATTACATTTTTTATTTGACTTTTGAAAAAATTGTATAAATTGATATTTAAAATATATATATATATAATTTACACCATAAACTTTTAAATAATGTATAATTTGGACTCTGAACGTTTAAACTTTTAAATTATATATCATATTAATTAAAACTCTATATGAATTTATATATGTGATGTTTAATAAATTATCAAATTACGTGTTTACTACATATATTATCAACATATTTTTAATATAAATTAAAGCATATACTTTTTAATTTACCGTAAAAATATTTAGGAATAATTTTTTTTTCATGTGTATTTATATAAAGGTTTGTACAAGTTGTTTAATATTTTTATTTAACAAATAACATACATATAATAAAATTATATTAAATAGATATCATATAGGCAAAAAATTAACAAATTTAAATTAAAATGATATATTATTTGAAAATCAAGAGTACAAATTGTACATTTTATTTCTTTAAATATTAATTTTTATATTTTCTCAAAGTTCAGATAACAAAAATATAATTAACTTTTTAAAATATTAAAATTTGAATCCAAAACATATCACCTCTTAAAATTAATTACATGAATGAATTAACTTTTATGCTGTGTCCAGATTAATTTGCTAACATCAACCTTGAGACCACAACCACCAGCAGCTTTTAGATGACGATCCAAGACCTTGGATCTGTTTTCTAGCAGTTTTTTTCTTTTGTGATAATGATAGATTCACAGTTTAATTTACTATATTAATTTCCAAATAAGACCTTTTTCTTCGTCCGAAACTAAAATACTAGTAAATATAAGAAATAATAATAATGAATTTTCTTCTTATAATTATACAAGCATAAGAAAATTTATCTTTTGAACACTTAAATAAAATAGTCATCTCTCGTTTTCGTTAATCATTAAGATTTTAATAATTTTTTTTTTCAACATAAAAACTCTTACAAGATGACGCGACAATAACACCTCAATGCATTATTAAAGATTAACATCTGATCAATAAAGAAACACTTATTAAAATTTTAATGAACAAAATAAAAAATTTAATAATTAACTGATTATTTTTAAAACATTACTACGGTGGGTGAGTGAGCAATAGTGAATTTGATGTCAAATTTCGAAAGCGAAGATAAAAGGGGAATTCAGATAACGGTATCAATCTCTTGTTGAGCAAAGATTTCTTTGAAGATTAGTAAAGTTGAAAAGAATATGTACACTAACTGACTATACAGAGCACGCACAGCAGGCAACACCTTTTTTTCTAATTTCCTCATTCACATAAAGAGTTACAGTAAGCAAATCTTCTTCATCTCCGGAACCGACTCATAAGACCTTTCAAGACTGAATTTTCTAGCCCAAAACATGATGGAATAAACCCTCACCCACTGTACAATTACTCTCACAAACAATATACAACAATATGATATGCCAAAACTTCCCAACCCCAGCCACAATGTGGCTCCTATGGATATCATCAAGGCGGCAATGGCCCCATCAACATCTAGGCAATGATTCTGCCGCTGTACTGCCTCCATAATCAGATAAACAAGGCACCTCCGCGCGGAAAGCAGTTATAAAAGGGCACAGATGGCCGTTACCCTTCATCAGGCAATTGAACCACCCGGCTACTGACTCGAGCCTATCCATTGTGCTCCAATTGTCCATCAGAAGAAGAAACCTGTGTGAATTGCTTCTCCTTTGGAAGACAATCGACAGGAACGTAACAATATCCTTTCGGTAACCGTGAATTCTTCATAGATGCTTCATCTGATGTCATTACCAGCTCTTTTTCAAATGTTTCAATAGGCTGAGATTCACGACATGGCAAGCATCAGCCAAGATTCCTTTTAGGTTGAGACATGAGAGAGAGAAAGAATGCAAGTAAAACTAATGACACAAAATAGAATTATACCTTTCTTGATTTTGAGTTCCATTCTGCATTATCCAAACCATTACGAGATGCAAGCGAATATCTATGAGGGATTTGCTTCCCAGAGAATGGCACCCTCTCTGTTTGCTTCTGGACAAAAAGGCTCTGGGAAGTAGAGCTGTCATCAGTCCTTTGATCATTGTCCATAGGCACAGGAACCTTCACTCGGTGCTTAACTGAAAGAGTACTGTCCACAGTCACATCATCTGATCGCAGCACTTCACTGCATGATTTGAAACTATCTGTATGGCCTTTGAGAGAAGTTGTTGCAGATTCTGAGCTAACATCCGGATGGAAAAAAGGACTATGAACAAGCACAGAACGAGTGACTTGATTTCTTTTGCTAGCAAGTATTTCATGTGAGCAAAGAACCAACTCCCGCTGCAAACATTCACAACCGCATTCACACATTTACTCATATAAAACAGAAAAACTACCTACCAGTAGTGGTTGCATCCAAAAAACAAGAGAAAAGTCAACCATTAGAAGAACTACCTTCAACTTTTCACGTTTGATGATTCTTTCACAAAGAAGGCGTAACCTCTCTAGTTCAACCTGTAGAAGAGAATCAACAGACAAAACTCAATGATCATCCAATTACAATAATCTACTTTATAACACCAAAGTTAGTAAATAGCACAGAATCTAAGCAATCCAAAACTTGGCAAGAATGCCCTTACTCGAATTTGCTTCATGTGTTTCAACTCCTCAATTCCATGTTTCTGAGTTTCAGCCTACATAAATTATTATTCAACAGATAAATAACACAGGACAAATAACTGGCAACAAAACAATTCAGTAATTTTATAAACAAAAAATCAAAGATTTCAAACCTTTGCTCTCTGCTCCACACTGTGCTTTTCACAATAAGCCTTGTGCTGCAATTTGCCACCACTATGCTTCACATTCATATAGAAGCCAGCACTTCTAGCACAGGAGGGATGAAAAGTGGTCTGACAGTGACCATAACTACACTGAAAAAAATAAAACTGTAGCTGCTTAGCCACAAAGTATCTTCATTGCAACAACTCCTAGTTAAGAACCTGAAGTATAAAACACAATTATTTTTTAAAGAAGCAATTATAAAGCTCACCTTAATGCACCCACCATGCTTGCGATGGCAGATACAACACATGTCAACCCCCCTTGAAATCATCTCCTGATATTCCATTACCACATAACAAATTAAAATCAGATCTATAAAGCTTTCTCCAACTAGTAATTATCTAATGCCATAACATGCACACATACCATTCCATCCACAGCATTTACTTGTCCCCGTCGGAATGTTGATTCAAGAACCCACTAAAAAGTAGTAGGAAAAAATCAATCATTTTTAATTGGAAAGAGATTAAACATTAATAAACAAACAGGAAAGACAAAATCACCTCAGCACAGAAAGCATGTACCCATTGGCCATCCATACATTTCCTAAAAGCACCTGTAGTGCCACCACATAAACCACATTCAGCAGCAGGATAAGATTTCTCCCAAAAATTTAGAGATGAAGCTCCAGAGGATCTAGATGAAAACAATTCTTCACATAATTCACAGCACCAAGGACCCGTAGATTTTTTAACATTGCAATAGCAATCCAAGTGAACTGCAACCTGTAAGCAGGACTAAATCAAAATTCCAAACAGATAGAAGTAAAATATTACATGAAGGAAAGAAAAACTCATGGTTTCAGTCTGGAAAACCTTGCAGCTGGAACAGACTAAAATTGGATTCAGTACTGTCTCAGATCGTCTGCAGATGTCACATGACCTAGGGTGTTCTTTAGAAAAATCTGATAATGATTGAACAATATCGGAGTACTTTTCAGATGTAATCCTTGAGACAGCATTCCTAGAAAGTGCATCTTTCTTTCTCGGTTGAGAGCTAGTGCCAGCCCTCCCACCAGATGTATTCAGCTTCAATACATTCTGCAAAGGGAATGGCATGAAATTTGATCCTTATTCGGAGGCAACAGAAAATTTCATAGAAAAAAGGATCCATGAGAACAACCTCTTGCAGACTGGAGTCTTCCAAGCCATCTTTCCTTAATGATGAAATCCTGGAAGAAGCAGCTGCTGCAGCAGTTGCAGCGGCCAGAACAGCCTGTGCCTCCATATACCTTCTCTCTTTCCGGCCCTGCTTCTTTGCTTCTCTTAGCTTATAAAGATATTGATTAACAAACACAGCATCCCATCTTTGTGTCCTCACTGCTTCAACCTCCTGTGGTAGACTTTTAGCAACCCTAGAAATTAAATTATCTGCTAGGAGAAAATAGCACAAAATGCAGGTCTTACAGTTATATATATATCAATGTGAAACAACACAGACACGCGCACACACAAAAGAACCCGAGTCAAAAAAGTGAATACCAGTAAAATGATTTCTTGCAACTGCATTGCCCAGTAATCTATGCTGATAATAAATAATTTCACCTTCCACTTCATCTTCCGGAGACAATTTGAGAGCTCCCAATTTACTAGCCTTATCCAACTGCTCTAAATCATCAGATGTACAACTCTTTTCATTGCACTTTGAATGTTCGCTTTGGTGACTACAGCAAACAATGGCGTTAGAAGATGCCACCAAGCAAGAGAGATCTCCTTCTGTTGCACCTGCAAAGTGGAACTTGTAAGACCTGCCCAAAACGACAAGCAGAAAGAAGAAACTGCAGCCTAAATAATGACAACAAAATTACCGTCAAACTCATTTAATGTGTCCTTTCTGCCTTCAAACTCACCTACTCTATTCTTACAAAGCATCCCATTGTGCATCTGCTGCAATTTCTTGTGTAGGTAGGGGTGAATGTAAAAATTAGAAAATTCTTCAGCTCTTCTGCAATACAAAATTATCAAAGAATCAGAAATATCTCATTGGAATAGATGGAAAAGGTCCTCTAAGCTACAAATAGAACACCAACAAGAAGAACAAAAGATATAGCTTTAATGAATAAAGAAGAGTTCTTTCAATAAAGCTTACATGAGATTAGGGATAATTGGATTGACAATTGGGCAAAAGCAATGTTCTTGATCTAAAATTGCTGCAGTATTCTCCTCAAGAGTGGTTGCCCTCTCTGATTGACTCCTTTCAGAGAGGCTGTCATTTAAGAGGTCAGTTGAATTTCCTGTCCAATCATAAAATTTTAAGTTATAGATACAATACCCATCAGAATCATAATAGACAAGTAAATTATTTGATGAGCTGAGTCCATAGAAAGAAAACAGAAAAAAGGACAATATAATAACAGAAATTTCATGGCAAATAAAAAAAAAAGATGCCAGCATTTGATATTTCATACTCTACAAAAACCCATTGACCATATTGCCTAATTATAATTCCCCCACATTTCAAGAAAACATGCACTTGAATTCACCTTCAGGAGTCATTTTAGTTCAAAATTAACTTCTAAACTAATTTCAGGAGGTAAATGTATATTTTTAAGATGAATTAAGGAGAAAGTGTATGTCTTACAAATGTGAAAAATGAAGTCTTTTCAAGGAATTTTTTCGAATTTATCTTTTCCAAACTGATGCCAGAGTGACACTTTCAACAGACAATTAGGACAGCAAAAACATCCTCAGATTCTAGCCCTACCACTTGTTATTAACTGGCTCAATGAATTACCAGCCTCGGCATGTCAATTATTCTAAATGATGAATGAACAGCATGCAATACTAACAATATTTATTAATATTGTCCTAGCATAAGCTGCCAACCGTGTTACAATCAGCTCAAACCAAATTATGGAAAAAGGAATATTGGTGGTAAGCCATATCACCTAAATAAAGTAGTGCCCCACAGTAAAATCCAAAACCATTTGGCATGTTTTAATCCATTAGAACTAAAACCTAAAACAGCTCCGCAAAAGAACAATGACGAATAAACTTTAAAAAAAATATGAGGATAAAGTTAGAAAATATAACTCCATTTGACTAGCGTTGGGTAACATATGCAGGAAAGAAACATTTCATAAAGCAAGCAAAACATTAGTTACTTCAATGTAAAATAAGAAATGTCCAGACCCACTTTGACTGACAGAGAAGTAAAATAAAAAAGGAAAATTTTTGGGCCATCATAAACATCTTTGACACAACAAAACTATCACCCTTGTTACTCACCATGCATTTCAGTACCAAAAGAACCAAAAAAAGGGAAAAGAAAATTGATCCTTTTTCTGCAAATACTTCTTGGAAACCAAAAACTTGCACGACAAACATTTTCTTTTTCTTTCGCTAATACCTCACTTTGTGCTGGAAATTGTTCTCCAACACAACTTTCACAAACAAAAATGCAAGATTAACAGGAATTGCGTACACTAAAGTGCAAATCATTAAATTCAATATGACAAGGGGCACCAAAGCTAAGCCTTCATTTCCTAAAAGGTATAAGCATAATGCATAGCAGTGAAATTAGAAAAGAGAAAGGGAGCTTCCTGAGCGACAACCTTGCTCCCTCTTCCAATGGGAAATTCAGAACAATAAAGCTTGAACCCCCCTTGATCTTACTTCAGAATAATAACATAGTTACTTCAATATATATGCATAATAGAATCAGTTATATGCAACCAACCAGAATATAGTTCCTAACAAACTTCCATTTATTCTTCAAAGAAAAGGCTTAGTTGAATGAAAACAGATAGTAGAAGAAAGCACAAAGGCAAACATATATATTAGAAGGATTGAAATATCAAAATACCAGTGCTAGAAACAACCAAGGCTACATTACTTAACCACAAAAATGACCCAGATCAAGAATATGACTTGACCAACGTAAAGGGTATTGTAGAAGGAAAATAATTCAACAAAGAGTACCTTCAGATGTGGACAAATGCCTCTGTGAAGAGGCCTGGGAACCATCAGGCTTAGTTGAATTCTGCATGGAAAAGAAAAAATCACTTAAGGTAAGGAAAAGAAAACAAAAGGAAAAAGAGGAACCAAATAATGTAAGGTCATAAATTGAAGTAAAACCAACAAAAGAATATATTAAAGACAAAATGCACAGAAGCACACTCCTCCCAAAGCAGTTTCTTCTATTAAATCTTGAGACATTAAAAGTTACCCAAAGATATTCAAAAGTTACTAATAATAAAAGCAAAGATCAGTAAGAAGCACTTGAGCACTGTCTTACACATTTCAAGCTCATGTTTTGCACTTCTTGGTTCATTAATGATATTTCCTTAATTATGCATTTAATATTTACATGAATGCATCTTAAAATAAAGGCAAAAAACGTTAGAACCATTCTCACAGGATTTATATTGCGGTCACGGCCTCGGTCGCGTCGCATTTATTGCGGTAGCAAACATAACGGATAAAATAGCATTAGTTGCACTCACTACGGTCATGGATTTTTTTCTATTCTACACAATTTATCATAAATGAACTAAATAATTATTATAATCACAATAACATTTATTTCTGATATTTAAAGTAATTTATAACATTTTAATTCTTTCATTTATATGTTAAAATAAAATTTTTAGTTACAACTCATAAATTAATAAGTATATCTAACATATTCGTTAATATATTCATGAATTTTATGGACACAAATGTTATAAATACATATTTAATCTTATTGGGAAGAATGATGATGAACATTAAATTTTCTTTTATATGCTATGATTATCAGGGTAAGGGATTAAAATATAATTCCTTGAACATAGGTACTCATATCTTACCATTAAATCAAATACACAAGTGCAATATTTTAAGTAATTAATTAACATTTATTAAACTATAATTAAAATTTCACTTAAATCACTAAAAATTTCCCAAATTTTTATTTCCCATCCATATTTACTTTTCTCTCCAATCATTTCACCTAAACCCAAAAATAAAATATCAATTTTAGTTTTTAAAACCACGTGAAATCAGTATCAGCCTTCACTTTGTAAACCAAATTCTATTCCAAACCTGTTTTCTTCCCTTCTCGCCAATAGTAGAGCATGGTCTTCAGCCTTCCAAATCCCCATCCCATTTTCCCATGTTTCTTGTTCCTCCTCTGTCTCTACCTTTCTTCCCCATCTTGCAACAAAGTCACCAAACACAACCAACCACCCTCTAGTCTTGCTCAGATCTCACTGCCTCTCCTTTAAGAGATTTTAAACTGCCATGTCTCATTTATCTATCCCTCTCAAGAGTCAAAATTGGAGAAGACAACACAGAGCACAGCCTAAAGTCAACGGGTGTGGAGGCTAGATGAGAGCTCTATCTTCAAACCAACTGCTACTCAAATTTCAAAAATTGGGTATTTGTTTTTTACCATGAATTAATTTCATTTTTTAGTTTGATTGAGGCTTAAATTTGTTGGATTTTGACTTAACTGTTTGAAGTTAGGGTGGGTTTTCTTCTCTGGTTTGATTTTGTTTATTGTGTGATTTGATTTGGAAAATATGGAAAGCGGCTGTAACATCCCGTTACAACCGCTATTGGCCGTTATGCCACTATTTGAAGCCGCAAAGCTCCGTTATGAGTGTGATTGCCGTTCACAACCCCATTGCGGGAGAATAGCGGTGGCGATAGGTGCCACTACTGCTAAATAGTGGCCACTACACCACAACGCTGGCGCTATTTGAATCCAACTCACAACATGAAAAAGAAAATCTAAACATCACCTTCATTGAAGACAAAGCAAACATAAATCTAACCTCTCCAATATATATCTTTTTAATTCACTATTCAATGTTAATACTAATATCATAGATTAAAATAATAGTTATATATACATCAAAAAAGAAACACTTCACTTTCAAATTTTCACAACTTAACAGGCGTTAGAGTAGATCAACTCTCTGCACAATTTGTACTCCCACAAATATTGGTGGACAAAAAGAATTTTGAAGGGCAGAAAAGATTCATGGTCAGGAACAAATCTGACCAAAAGCAGTTCCAAGGAACCAACTTTCCAGAGACATAATATAAACTACAACTACAATGTTCCTGGCATACACAACCAGGACATATTTAGTTGGGGAGATAAGATGTTACAGAAAAGGAATATCTAACTAAGATTTTACAGAAAAGGAATATCTAAATACTATGGAAATTCAAAGCATTAGGAAGAAGAGGCCTTTAAACTAGACAACTGAATCTGGAAAACAGAGAATCACTTTTGCAACCTCACCTAAACCCTTACCATAAAACCCCATCCTACCCCATCAAAGGGAAAGACATGCACCATTATAATATATATATAAAAGTTATTAATGGCTGATGGAAGCATAAAACATAAAGCAACACGCACAACAGTAGCATTGCTTCAAAATGATCAATTTTAATGATTAAAAATATCTAGTTAACTGGAAAAGCTACAACAGCACAGAACATGGGCGCCAAAAATAAAGAAACCAAACTTGAAAATCACCTGAAAGGCTACTAGTCAGCAAGCAACAATATACCAGATTAGGGATATGATGTCAAGACACCAATCATCAAGAAATATTCACGGCGTTAACATATCCAAAAATTATTAGGAAAGACAAATAAACAGAACGTGTAAATACAAACTCAAAGACAACATTTTAACACAATAATCAATTAAAATTTTAAAAGTTAACTTGCCAAAAATCCTTTGAAGTGAATACTAATGATTGATACTTTACCTCTCCCGTGGCATCATGAATGGATGCTTTGCTTGAATCATTTGTTTCTTCCTTAGCAAGTCGATCAACCCTAACTTCATCCATCACTACCCCATTATCATTAATAATTTCATCAGATGAGCATATTACTTTGTTATCCCTCAAAATCCTTACATTACTCTTGGTTCTTCTCCGAGGGGGCACAGACTTAACGGTAACAGGATCTCTTATATCAGATTCTGATACCATTATATCATCAGAACTATCAGTTGCTCCGGTCACATCCTTCGGTGAAATCAAAGACTTTATCTTAAATTTGAAATTATTTTGGGAAGAGCCCATATAAGCATGATTTCTAAGCCATTTCACTAATTTGCATCCCAAGCCAGGTGCCAAGCTATCATCCTGAAGAAAGAAAGACCAAAGGTAATATTAAAGAAAATTAAAGAAAGATGAAAGCAAAAACCAACAACTAAAACTGCTTTCAGAAAACAATTACAAGATAAGGAAGCACAAGATTGCAGGTATTACATCTAATGTAGCACTCAAAGAATCAGGCGAGAGTCCAATCTCCAATGCTAAATCTTTTACATTGACTTTCCCTTGGTCAATTAGCTGCATAATTTGTAGATTGTAAGGCAAAGAACAATCCGGATTACAGAGCTTTAAAAACATTGAGAAAATATTGTCAAGCCCTTAATGTCTGAATCTCATACCTTCTTTAAAATCAGTACAAAATTAAGGGAGTCAGATGGGCTATGGTCATCACCATTACTCCTCTCCAACAAACCCACATCAACCAGCTGCTGTACATCGCCACATTCTGATGCAACTAGGGCATTTAATATGGTATCAGGAAAGCATATCTCTTGCAATTCACCATCACCAGATTTATCAGAGTTATCATCTGGAGCTTCCATGCGCACTGCAATTTTATCTCCATTTTTTAGGCCAATTTTTAAATTTTGAGATTTATCCATTGATGTTGGAGAAAGTTGGTTGGTGATAGAAGTGTCACTGCCAGCTACACAAAGTTCCCCAAGTTGTAGGGAACTGCTGTTATCATGGATGTCTGAATGCTTAGAGCAAAAAGCCCGTAACTCAATCTGTAGAAACATTTACAATAACTGAGCCTTTATAATAAGAAAGTCTCAAAATAAGAACAAAGTCACCGCTAATAAATAGTAACAACAAAAAAATTATGAGACTAACATTATCACACCCATGTCTTCCCCAAACTTCCATTCTATGTTTGGCTTCTCTAGCACATATAGGGTGGAATGAGGTTCTGCAAGTTCCTGTAAAAACCACCCAAATAAATATCCTTCACAAACAAAAGCATTACAAACATGTTCAGAATTTCAAGAAGATTATAAACAACAGAAAACAAAACATCTCAAGACAACAAATATTTCAGCATTAAAGCAGAACTGTAATGACGTTAACAAAACTTGCATTGCAGCAAGAATTCTGATATCGTGGAATGTGGAAACTCACTGATCATTTATTTCAAGAACATTTTAGACTCTTCTCAAAAATAGCATCATTTGATGAACAATTATCTGTAGTATGAGCTACATACAATATTAACATCAAAAAGTTAAAAGAAAAACAGATGTTAAGGGCAAAAAAGGCAAATAAACAATCCAATCAACTATCATTTTCCCATTACATAACATATGATAATAAAAAAACCTTGCAATTTGAATGTACTAGCAGAGTTGCCTTCAGAAAGTTCTTTCAGCAGAAGAGACTGATAGCGGTTCTATGAGAAGACAAATAGGTGAAGTCACTGGAATCCATTTCAAACTCAAAAGCATCAGTTTGGGCTTCCAACAAAAGAAAATGTCATAATTGGGCTCCAGCCAGAATGAGGGCATCATTGACACTCCTTACTACCTATTTCCTTTTCCTCAAATTACTGATAATAGTTTTGCTTACCCACAGTAAAATAACTGGTGTATGGCACCCAAGCAATTTTTCACGGGGTAAGAAGCCAAAAACTACTCAGCCAGTTATGATCACAAACATTAAACTTCCTTACTAACTCAAGCTGGGCGTAGATATGGTGATAACCTTTCATTCCCTTCCTATGTAAACATACCAAATGATCTTCAACAAAAGACAACACTTAAAGTCAATATATCCAGTACATTCCAATCTCTAATCCAAAAATGTTAATCCAGAAGACAGATCATACGAAAGAAAGCCTAATCTCATAAACTGTGAAGTAACAAGTATGTGAAACAAAAAGACTAGAATAATATTTTCATGATAACTTCCTTTCCCTGCAATTCAAACTTTGATGAACTACAACCATCACTATAACTTCATATTCAATGACTTACAAGGTCCAAGCAAACCATTATCACAAGGGTAGGGGAATCACCCGGGGTTCTCTCAAGGACTTCTACATAACAGTCTTCCTAACCAATATCTCATCAAAAAATCCAAAAAAATTATCAGCATAAGCTGTTCCTAGAGTTTGTTTTTCTGTATAAAGTTTATTTTTCTCTACAAAGAGTTCATAACTGTCCTCTCAGTTTCTTCATTAAAACTTGCAAAAGGCACAAATTCAAATTTAAGAACACCTTCTCTAAACGAATTAGTACCCTATGATACCAAAATATGCTCTTGGACAAACCTGTTATCTCCAAGATAGCAATATTACAGGATGAGGAACTTTTCTATAAAGTTTTTCTGACCAAAGATGGAATCTCACACTACCTTGCTTCCACCTTCATAATACTCTCATTAAATTCTCGGACCAAACAATTTTTTAGAGAGAGATAGGAAGAGTTATAAAACTGATAGTGAGGTTGATACTCAAGGAAGTTGATGAATATTTTCCATCAAGCATGCTACTTTTACAAGCTCCCTTCCAAGTAATTTAAGACCAAAAAATATATAATTAACATATTGGGGAACAAACCTGCAATTTCACACCAAATAAGTTGCTTATCCGTTACCTCCCATTGAAAAAGAAAATGGAAAACAAACTTTCAATAAACAATAAGGATTCCAAAAATAACTAATCTTAGTCAACTTTGCCAACTTCTGTACCCTATGGGAAACCAACCATAAACCTAAAAGCTGCCAACAACCACGAAAAGCTGAAAGCTGAAATTTAACAACCACAATCATTAAACAAATCAAACATACCACTAGGCCGTAAGTGACCATTTTTGTTGTTTGTAAACAACATATCACATACTAGTAATTGAACATCTGGCCTCACTCTCAATCTTGTTTCTGAAATACCTAAGTTTATTTCCCCAACTTTCAGTGATGGTATCTTACATATTACCAACAATAAAAACGCAAGTAATTGTTGCAGATAAGTCTAGCTTCTCTCTACCAGAAATTCATCATGCAGATACTAAGATAACATTAAAAGTGGAAAACTATTCTAAAACTGTTGAATAAATTGCTGCATCAAAACATGGAATCAAATGAAGTCACCAGTAGATGAAAAAGAGATATCACTCTTATAGCACAAAAGGCAGAAAAACGATAATTCAAACTTGCCAAAAAGGGAAAATGTTTTAGATAGGCTTTTTAATTTGAATCATCCAACGTACTGTGTTTCAAACTCTCAATAACAGTTTCAACTAATATATACAAAAAAAAAATGTGGCAAATTTTGTGTGGACCAAAAAAAAAGGGAAAAATTTTTTCTAATAACAAGATGCATCAACTGAGGCAATACCATGTTCAAACAATTCCCTTCTCTAATTTGAATTTCAGAAGTTACAACTTATTACACAACAAACTAATAGCCATTATTCTTGGTGGATAGGAAGCACTTCAAAGAACACATTTTGCAGCTGCACAAATGTAGACTAATGGATGTAAAAAGTAGCGAAAAATTTAAATAAAAGAATTCACTCCTAGTGCATGTGCACCAACCAAAAAAGAGAAATAGGATGGTATAAAATTAAAAAAAAATGTAGCAACAAACATACCATGACTGCACCGAACACATGCACCATACTTCACCTTGCATATATTACAGACTAATTTCCTTCTGGTGTCCTTTATTCCCCCCACATTGATAATTGGTTCCATCTTTCTCAAGTCTTCTATATAGAGCTCAGGCATCCAGTGCGAACAAAACAAGTGTGCAAACTCCACAAACCCACCATTTTCATCACTCTTTTGGATTGGCTTTAAAGCACCACCTTGCTTCGGACAAAGTACACAAGGTTTTACCGTATCATGGCCATCATTTTCCTGCTTACACCAAGAACACAACCAAGAACTATCTACATCATTTTGAACACCATAGCACTTTTGATGAACAGCAACCTTACAAGAACTGCAAACAATCAATCTGTTCGCTTTACTGGTATCATCACCAGTACAACAAAAGTGACATACAGATGAATTCCCATCACATGGACACGCAATTAATACTTTCTCCAGCCCAGCATCCTCTCCAAGAAGTTTCCGCTTCTTCGAAGGCCGCTCTGAAGTTAACAATATCCTAGTCCTAGAACCTAAAAGCCACTCTAAACCATTGGATGAATCTGAAACAGAGCATACTTTTTCCTCATTTAGCGAAAACTGAGTTTGCGTTCCCACGCTATCAATTTCCATTAACTGCCCATCCTCCTCCTTTACCACCTCCTCCACTTCTTCTTTACCAACGTTGCCATTTTCATTCATATTATCCAAATTCTCTCCACTACCCATGCTTGCCTTCTCATTAACGTCAGCATCCACATTCAAATTCGCCCTCGGCTCATTTCCAACATACGGAATCATAAAACACTTCTTCCTAGCAGCTAAAGAACCAGATAGTGTAATCTCAAACAAAGCATCAATATCCGGCAACGCCAAGTCCCTAAAATACTCTTCCGTTTCAACCCAAATGCTCCCGCCTCCTGCCTTGTCTCCCTTTCTGGAAGACTTCTTATCAGCTCCCGCGTGCGACTTCTTATGCCTCTTCCTACTGTCAGTCTGTTTCAACAAACTTGCCAGTTCACTGGGCAGCGTTGGTGCACTCAACCCGGAAAGAGAGCCACCTTCAGGTATATCAAAAGGGGAACGTTCACAGAGGGCTTTACGCGCCTGAGAAAAAAAATCCACAACAACATCGCTGGAAAATTGCTTCTCCGCATTCTCAGGTTGGGTCACCGTACTCCGACCCGAAACCCTAAGAACCGGGCGGCAAGGCCTCTCCTCGATGCCGCAGCCTCCGTCCGCACCCCTACCCATCATCTTTTTCTGCCGGTGGCATAGAGCTCCGGTCATCACCAACAACAACCACAAGCGCTACCACAACCTCCCCCTTCGCATTCCATAACCGTCTAAACTTTGGTCTACCCCTAATTCTAATCCTAATCTTAATACTATCTTATCTTCGGCCCCCTGGACACAAAACCCTAACCCTAAAAATCAAGTTACACTATCAGTATTTTCAAATCAAAATCAAAGAAAAAATAATAGCCATAAGAAACCAAAGAGGGTAAACTGCGGCTAGGGTTAGGGTTTTCAGTAATTTGTTCTGCTTTTGGATCCGTTTTTAAGTGTACCTTGTTTCCTTTTGGGTTATTCGATTTTTTTTTTTTTGGAACTTTGAAGAGAGAGAGAGAATGAGGATACCAAAAAATATATTCGCGTTTTTTTGCAGGCAGAGAGGACGGTTTGTTTTAGCAACGTTATTATTTAATATTTTCTAATTTTTAAGTGGGGTTTAGATAGGATGTGGTGACGGAATATATGTGTATTCGTGTGGTTGCGGGATTTCAGCAGGTGGCATGTGAATATTGGTTTAAAAGTATGAGATGGAAATATCTCGGATGTAGATTATTTGGCCTTGGGTTTTCATTTTATTACTGTCAGTGAATGATGACGTGTTTTTTTCCCCTACCTTCCTAAATTCTACACTCTGACTATTAAATTACTGGTCTTTCCATAAATGTTTGAAATTATTAATTGCATTTGCATAAAATAACTTTAAAAAAAAATGTTACCATATACTCTCTATTGCTTTTTGAAAATAAATTAATTTTATCGTTAGTAGAACAAAAATGATATAAAATTGAATACCAAGTGAAAACCACATATTTTATACATAAATGAAAATATAATTCTACTAAATTAAAAAAAAAGAAAATTATTAATTTTGCTATTCATAAGATTAAATTTCTTGATTTATAAGTGTCCAAATAATATTATTTAACAATCAAATACTAGTAAATAATCAATGTCATAAAAGTAAAAATTAAATAAAAATCTAAATATCTTTAAATCAATTGAGAAAATGTTAATGTTATATATAAATTACAGTAGTTGAAATTTTTAATGACCAACTTTTCAAGGGTTTGGGCTTAAAAAATGTTTAACAAGTCCTTTGTACTTTGACGAGTATGTTTTAATTTTAAGTTAATGATAAAAATATTATATTTAATAATTTTATATTTTAATATTTTATTATTCAAATTATGATTTTATTTGTAAAAAAAAAAGGACAAAAATCATGATTGAACATTAATTATTACAAAATATATCATGGATTACATTAACATTTCTTAATTTAAAATTTATCCTTAATCTTGATCCATATTTTCTTTAACTCATTTAACGAATATATAACATTTAAAAATTTTTGAATTTAAAATTTAGTTTAAATGATTTGATGAATGGAATTTGCAAATTTTACTTTTTTCTTATTTTCTTTGGGCATTAACCTTTTACGTAAAAAAATATTTTCTATATCTTTTTGAATTGACAAATTTAAAGTGTTTAACCAGTATACATAAAATTAAAATTAATACTAAAATAACACAGATAAACAGGAATCACATGTTACATTTAGTGTATAATTGACGTCAAACTTTTTTTTGGTAAGGTTTGGTTTGATATGGGTAGCAGGTATTGCGGGATGCTATTTACGAATTACAAGACGAGGGTTTAAGTCTTTAAATTTATTAAAGAGGTTTGAGAGATATCAAAAATTTAATTTTAAGTTAAATTTTTTTTATTTATATTAAAATTTTAATAAAAAAAAAGGGCTCAAGCTTTATGTTTTTTTGACATTTTTGGATGCCATCTAGAATACGTCAACTTTTGATCTAAAATTAAATTTAAAAATCAATTTGAAAAATAAAAAAACAAAACCTTTAGTTTGAAGGTTTTGAAATCCTTCCAAAAAAAATAAATACATTAAAGTTTTTTATTTAATTAAATAAAATATTATACACATAAATTCTTTTAAATTTATTATTTTAATGATCTATTAACTGATTAAAATATTAATTGATAAAAATATATTGTTTAATTTATAAATAATAAATGCTACGATAGTGATCAATTAATTACATAATTTTTATTAAAATTTATAATTATTAAATTATAATAAAAATTTATCACTTATAAATAAATTTTATATAAAATGTTGATAAAATTTAACGGTGATTGATTTATTATAAAGACGGGAGATGACGTTACACGGCATATATAAGAAGTACACGCATTGGGGAAATCAGGAGGAAGGCGGCGAGGGCGAAACATAACAGTTGCCTTAACGCCCCCGGCCCACCCCCAACCCCCCCCCCCGGCCAAAAGAAAAATGTTCAGAGCACGCTGTACTTGAAAGAGGGTTAAAAAAAAAAAAGAAGAAATCGAATCGTTATTTCATCCTCAATAATAATTAGTTAATTAATTACACGAAAAACAATCAAATGGATTTGGGGGAGCTGTGGGCGATCTTCGGTCCCGGTGTCGCGGGCGCAGTGTTCGGTGCCGGCTGGTGGTTTTGGGTCGACGCCGTCGTTTGTAGCTCCGTCAATGTCTCTTTCGTCCACTATTTACCTGGTACGCCTTAATTCCTCTTTTTTTTCATATATTTATCTGCTTCCTTTGAATTATATATTTTTTATCGATGTTTATATGGCTGATTATTTCCTTTTATATTTTAGGAATATTTGCATCTGTTGCGGCTTTTATGTTCAATTGTGTTAGAAAAGACGATATTGATTACTCTCCTTATGAAGAAGGCGAGTGGAGGTTAGCTAATTCTTTTCTCATATCTTTCAATTGCTTGCTGTTTTTTAGTTGATTTTCTTGTTTCAGATCGATTTTGAGTTTGATCTGCTTTTTGGAGTTTGATTATGCTTGCTATTATCAAATTTTGCTAAAATTGTAATCGTTTTGCCTATGATTGGAAAGTTTAAGTAATTACTTAGGGCTTTATGTTCCTCAGTGATAGTGCTGTGGACTGTGATATTTTCAGGTTAAATTAAGATATTTTTGTTCACGTAAGCTGATTGAATTAAATAATTGTTATTTGAAAACCTTGTTTTGTCTGCAGATTTGAGGTCTATTGTTGTAACAATCACTCTGAACTTGAAATTCCATAGGTAGTAGGGCTTCAGAGATCGGAGTCTTTCATCTCCACTAATTTATTCCTTTTGGTATCAACAACTTATCCTTCAATCAGACAATCATTCAAGCTACTCAATTACTTGAGCTAGTTTATTCTTTATGTTTCACTACTTGATTTGTCTATGATACACAAGAAATGCCCTTAAGCCATTTGAAGCTTCCTCTATTCCATGCAGGTTCCACAATTTTGAGCTAAGTTGTGATGACTCTTAGTAAAAAGAAAACTTAACAATCATCTTGCGTTCTTGCTTAACCACCTAAGTATTTTCATGGTAAATTTAAAGAAATTTGCTTCATGTATCAATGCTATCATTTGAAAGTGGGGTGGTATATGGGCTATCAATATGTGTTAAGCGTGGTTTGTCCAGTTCACCATTGTGTTTAGTGGTTTAATTAAGCTGATCTGTGCACGTGCTCCAGTTGCATGACAATTTCATTGTCAGTGATTGCAAATTTGAATTCTGCAGAAGGATTTGGCTTTGTATGAATTAAAGCCATAGGGAATTACTAATGGTTTTCAAGTTTTTTATTTCCGTTGTCTTATTTTCTTGCTATTTGCCTTATATCTTGTACATGCTTGGTTTTTTATAATTGTGTCAATTGTCAAGTGCCAAATTTCTAATTGTTTGGAATGGAAGAGCTGACCATCCTTGTATCTGTTCTGTTGAGTATTTTAACTCTAGATTTCTTTTATGAGAATTACAGTACTCCTTTGATTGCTTGTTCTGGCTAATGGATGCTAATCCTTCATTGCAACAGGTTGAAACTATGGCTTTTCATTGCTTATGTGGTGTCCTTTGTATCACTGGCTGCTTCGGTGGGCCTGTTGATACAAGATTCGCTTGTAAAATCTGGTCCTTCAGTGTGGACTGGTACTGCTGGTGTCTTGCAGTGTGCGCTTGTCTTAATCAGGTAAATTTTATTCCGGATTTAGAATTGCAACCATAATCTATATCATGTTAAAAAACATTACATGACATGTTAGTTCAGTTTTGTAGAATTATTCCAATTTGATGATGAATATCCTTCTTGTTTCCTATGTGCCTGCATGAGAATGAGACACACAAATAGTCATATGCATACATGTACTGCCAATGCCATTCTTAAGATGTTCTCTAATTTCATTATTACATGTTAAATGTTGTGTCATCAACTTTCAACTCATTAATTTCGTCAATTTGAATCCTCCACTGTAGCGGGCTGATATATTGGACTTGTCACTCGGAATAACGGATACCCTGAATCTGGTGTTTTACACTTCGGAGCTTGGAATCACAAGTGAGGCAATGATATGTGCTCGTATCATCTGTTGTTAACCTTTGTAAATTTTGTATTGTACTGTCTTGAGTATTAATGTACGATACATCCTGCTCATTTGAAATTTATGATGGTGGTTATTCAGTCTAATCTCCAACCACTTGCGCTTGAGAAACATTATTATGTTTGTCTTTCTTTGTTTTTTTCTTTTTTTTCAGCTCTATTCAGGGCCAAATCATGTGTGCCCATGCCCTCTCATTCAACAAAACCAAGTTCGTGCTAGAAAGACCCTGATAAACTACATGCCATCAGGGCATGACACATGTTTAATAGTTTGAAGCTACAGAGGCACGAAAATCTGTTTTAAGGATTTTAGAACAAAAATTGGTGCTACCTCATTTCACTCCTTTAATGAATAAACACATTCTGCAGGATGTAGGGTTCCTCCCAAACCAGAAAAAATTGAATCAATAAACCATACATCTACAAATAGAATAACAGTATTTTTGCAGTTCATCATTGGAGGGTCAAGGAATGTACTATATGTTTTGGTATATTTTATGTTTCTGGTATGCAAATTATGCAGGCACCTGTCACATTGGTGTTAACTATGGAAGGAATGGAAATAACCTTCCATTTCCAAAAGAAGTGGTAGGACTTTATCAGAGGCGTGGTATTGAATTCATGAAACTATCTGAGCCAATACCTGAACTACTTGAAGCATTGAAGGGGTCAAAGATGGAAATCTCTCTCGGTATAAGAAATGAGGAACTGAAAAACCTGGCATTGAGCCAATATACAGTTAATCGATGAGTTCAATCTAACATCGTCCCTTACATCAAAGACGTTTCGTTTGGTTCGGTCACCGTACAATAAGGAAATCTCAGGTTCTGATTCAGACTATGTTTACGGAGCCACGAACAATATGCATACTGCGCTCACTACCATTCGGCCTTGTTAGTACGAGGGTCACACTCACAACCATCGTTTCAACATAAAAAATCCTCGGGATTTCTAACCCTCCCTTAGCAGGAAGCCTTGGTTACCATGTACGATATAGCAGCATTTGTCAGGCACAGGAGCATCACTTACGCTTAATGTCTACCCTTTGGTTATGCTGCGGACCCTGATCACATCTTATTTGAGTATGCTACTTTGAGGTCTAAAGTCTAAGGAACCTGTATTGGATGGAAAATTGGAATACCATAGCCTGTTTGATACCATGGTCGATTCTTGTTTTGTAGCATTTGAAAACCTGTCTATAGAATTTCTTACGGTTGCTAAGGGTAAAATCTGAATGTATTCCCCCAAAATTTTCAACTGAAATCGAGGTACGCATTCGTTGGAAAATGACCACTTGAATGCTAGTTGCAATTTTTTAACTTTAAGCACTCCATTGCTTTGCAATAAATCGGCAGAAAATAAATGATAGCCTTTTATTTTGGAATTAAACTTCTAGACTGAATCCCAACTAGTATTTCCTACCTTTATTCAGGTTAAACTACTGCCTCCATAAAAATATCATAAACATCTGCTAAAAGAATTGAAAAGAAAAGTAAGAAAAATATATATGTAACACGAACTAAACTAAAATGGGGAACTTTTTGATTTCCGTAAAATTGACCAAAAAACACCAATAAGCTATTTTTTGTAAAATTGAACCCTCTTGAAAGGAAGAAAAAGGACGAAATATCCCTAAAGATGCAACTTTCCAGCATCTTTCCACTGCAGACAAAATAGCCCCAATCAATCCTTCCCCCAACCAACCTTGGAAGAATTCTGTGTTACAGGCGGGCAGGACTTATTGCACCATTTGCAAATGGCACTGTCAAACCGAAACCTACCCCCTTCCATAATCAACTCATCAGCTTTCTTTCAAACAGAAGACATCAAAAAAGAGATAAAGTGAGGCAAAAAATAATAATAATAATCATCTGCCATCAAAAATTGGAACTTCTTCGGATTTACTATGTAAGGGCAGAGAAAAGTCAAGCTTCAGATCCGGAGTCAGACGAGCTCAATTCAGAAGAAGCTCCATCCAAATTAGTCGCAAAAGATTGAACCAGCTTTGGCCGCATGCCACGGCACAGTTTCAGAGATGGCATCAGTTCCATGTACTGCAAAACCAAATGAATAGGCAAAATAAGCAAATAGCATATAAATAGGAGTTCCTATTTTACATCTTTTGTAAAATACCTTTTAAACAATGAGAAAGATACTGAGTAGCCATGGGATCAGATTGCAAATAAAAGCATAACAAATATACCAAACCTTCATAACTGTCCAATGGCTATAAAGAAAAAACATATTCCATTATGTTTTACCATCCAATAGATAGAGCATGATCAGCTCCACATAATTTTCGCTATACTTCAAGGTTCATTACAACACTAATATTAGGAAACAACTCATAGAATGCCTTCAATGAAAATTTATTGAATAAATCTGTTATATATCAGTGAAGGGAAAGTACTGTAGAAAAGAAAGATATCTCGTACCTCCTGATAAAAAGCATTGATCTCCTCTTCTGTAAGGCCTTCATCCTCACCGGTGTTTTCTTCCCAGCCAAGAGATCGAAGGAATGCAGCCTCTTCCTCATCTGGATAAACCATAGCAGTGCCGCTCATATTCTTTTCGCCATCATCAGAAAATCTTTGAGCCTCTTGACAGTTGTCACCATTGCTAGTTGCTACTGTAACATGCTCATTAGCATGAGCAGTCGCAGAAGGACTGATTACTTGCTTTGTAACTTCAGACTTATCTGTGGTTGAAGATGAAATCTGAGGGTCTGAATATGAGAGACCGGCAGAAGTGTTTTCTAAGGTCTTCTTCTTCAGGAGATTAAAAAAATCATTTCTGCTCTGGGTTTGAGCCAAAGAAGGTCTCTTTTCCACAGTGAACCCAGGCATTGGATTCATGGCACCTGCCTTGCGTTCCCCAGCAGAAAGCTTTGGGTTGTTTGAGTTTCTTGCAGGAGCAGATGTAACAGGAGCAACAGCATGTTGGCTGGTAGTAACTCTGCTATTTGAATTTGTTGGACTAGCAACATCTTTTTGAGTAGGGGATGAGACCCCATTCTCCCATCCTGGTTTGAGAACCAAAAGCTTCCCAGATGTCTTTGGCATATCAGACTTGACATGTCCACTATGAGGAGACTGATTACCATGATGAATCAAAGAAGGTGGCTGCTGTCCACTCTTCACAGCTATATTCATCTCACTTGTTCTGACTGCTGGTTTGGTTTTTGATTTATCCACAGAATTTAGAACCTGGGACAAAAAATTAGGTATATTACCAGGAATTTCTAAGTACTAAATAAATGGTTTTTTACCCATGCAGTAGACAGGTAATGCACAGAAAACAGAGCAACTTCAGAAATACTTCATGAACAGACAACACGCTAGCTAACTTCAGTTAATCCAGGCATTTCAAAGTCCCTTGAAAATGTACAGGAACAGTTATAATTCAATCACAAGTATATATCACGAAAGCCACATGATAAAGAGAAGTCCACATGAACTTCAAGCCAAAATCCAGCATAAACAAAACCAGGTCAGAAAAAGAAAAAGAAACAAGGCTCTCTTAGGTGGTGGAAAAATGGATGGTCTTGCATAACTTTTTCAAAATTCTAATCCATCAAGAAAATTGTGCGTAAGCTCCTCGAAAAGTTTTACAATTCATTAATTGACCATAGTTATTTAATGATGATACTGATTAAACCCAATGCATGAGTTTCTTTGAAAACTCTCATTCTTGACTTTCAATTATGATCAGAGAAGATGATAAAAAATCTCAGTATACTCAACAGACACAAATAAAGAAATTTATATAACCTAAATTAAATTCACAACAACTTAAGGCAACCTCATATATCTGCAATACATTCTGACCTACAGGTTTATGCAAAATCATAAAGGTCAAAGAAGATTATCACCAACTTAGCTTTAAGAAAATTCAGAGTATTATGGAACTTACCAAATCAACTAATAATCTGCATCAGAAAAAAACAAGAAATATGTCTGGACAGAACACTGGATAAGAAAGTAAAATGAAACCTATGTACACACAAACAAACTGAGGTTCAGGAAGGAAGGAAAGAACAAGCAAGGGAGAAGGGGACAGGAAAAGAAAGTGCCATTTGTGCCAAAACTCCCACCAACATTACTGTCAATCAAATTTCGGTTTGTTTTAACCAGTGGAAAGAGCATGGCATTTATGTGAACCTACCTACAAAGTTTTGTAACTTATGGAGAAAGGCCAAAGATCTTCATAGCCATGGAAAAACTTAGACCAACCTAGAGCTCCTTACATGGAGTCATAAAAAATTCCAAAATAGTTGCCTAGCATCTAAGCTCAAAATATAAAAATAACATTAACCTATAGAGCAAAAGAGTAAAAGGATGTCATAAATGAGAGGAAATGGTTTTGATGTAGGAGAGTGTGAATCAAGATTCAAGACAAGCTTTGGAGGCAATCATTTAGAGTTAAATTGGGAAAAAGCCCAGAAACTATGCTGAGAATAAGTGTTTTTTAGGAGGTTTGCAATAACATTCAGTTGGATAAGATATGGGTTTCAAAAAAGTTTAAGTAGAATTAAAAGATTATATATAAGTTATATTCAGGTTTAAAATTGCTGGAAATCTAAAGAACAAGAAAGAATATATAGCCTTACACCTAGATTTCCTATGACAGCACAATGACATCAAATAAAGAACATAAATTCAGGTTTTCTTAAAACTTAATCTTGACTTCTATTATTGCACCAGACTAGTAAGGGAAGACTGATATTCAAGCTCCCAAGAGAAGTAAAAACTTGGAAACAAGAGAAGAATACTTTAAAGGATGAAAATCAGAAACGAACAGGACATAAGTTCAGGGATAGGAAATCAGAAATATATGATCCAGTGTAAAAGTACCAAAATAAAGCTTTCATGAAAAATATAAAACCTAAAAGTAGATAGGCAGGCATTAGATAAAAACAACTATCCAGCATATAATCTCTAGAGATGATGTACAAGAATGCAGAATGCAAAAGGGAGGGGAAACAAACTTGTTTAATAGGACTAAAACTACAAACTTATATTTTGCTGAAAGCCAAGAAAGCTGGCTTACCGAACCCTTAGGCATCGACGGTGTCACTGGTATTAGTTGCCTCGATTGCTTAATAGCCAGTTCCTCACGCCTTTGAGTCTTGACAGATAACTAAATGAAATACAAATGTCTGGTTAGACCACAGATATAAGTTATATGTATAATAAGAACTTAGTGACTAAGCCAGTTACCTGGGGAGCAGTACGAGTTCGTGAAGGAGCTTGTGCTAGTGCTTCAGCCATATTAAGACTAGGTGTGACACTTGGAGCGCCAGGACCTGAGGTGGAAACAGTTTGGGGGACAGGCAAGGAACCTGTGCTACTACTTCCAACCACACTGGGCACTTCTGCCAAAGCTGAGGTCCATCCTTCCGCACCAATCAAAGCTGAATTACCAACAGGCAAACTCTGAGAAGCTGAGCTCAAACCAGGAGATGAAACTCTAACTATCTCAGGCACTCCTTGCCTCTCTTCAGTTCCAAGTGAGGGAAAATCTTTCTCAAACACAGCCTTGTGGATGCTACTCCCAATGGTACCCCCAGAAAGCAGACCATTGCCATTGTTATGGTTACTGTTACCACTGTCTCTTGAGTCCACTGCAATCCTTCGAGGCAAAGGCTCACCCTGTTTCCTAGAGACCATAGAATGAGAACGCCGCAATGTATCTGTCTCAATCCTACAGGTTGAGATACCTCCTAATTTCTCACCCCTACTGGTTAAGATACTTTCTAAAGGGTCAGAAGAATCACGGTCCCAATGGTCCCCAAATCTCAACCTCTCTTTATCCCTTTCTCGATCCTTATCACGGTGACTCCTACTAAAGCTACTGTAAGCATGCTTTCCAGAACCATTGCTAGAACTCCTCCTCAAATTCAAGGAAGATGTCCGTTCCAAAAAGGTTGAACGAGGGGAATCAAAATCACTTACATTCCTAGAGTTTCTATGTCTCCCATGATGCACTGACGAAGAAGCATCTAATATAACAACAAAAATACAGTTATCATATATTCTGAAAATGATATAAAAACATTCCTACAATGTCAACCATAAATATATATATATATATAGTATAAATTGAATGAGAAATGCAACGGCAATGAAAAATGGGCATAAAAGTTGCGTCTAACAGACAGATACATGTCCAAGAACAACATTATAATCAAGTAAAAATGGAATGAAAAATGCAACGGGTTTAAAAGTTGGCCTGTAGAAGGTACCTGAGTGAGAAGAAGAGGAAGCAAAGTGGTGGGCTGAATTGCCACCTCCAGTAACAGTGCCAGTACTTCTCAACCATTCTGGAACTAATGCAGGTTCACTTCTTTCCATAAGGGATACTGAACATGATCATCAGAAAAAAATAAAAAGAAACAACCACTTCACCTTCTTCAAAGCAACCCGAAACTCTTAAGCTAATCCCTAGTCATTCAAACCACCAAAATCAAGGTTGCTGGATTCAAACGGCCGCTCAACAAATGGCAAAGAAGGAATTGTTTGATCAAAAGAAATATATTTTTAACACAAGCGTGAAGCCATAGCAACGGAAACAAAGGCAATGGCAATAAAACAAAGGAGATTATATTTTAATTAACTCACTCCCTACTCCTCCATCTTTGATGAAAGATGGATTTGCAGATTGCTGATTTTCCAGTCTCAAATGACGCTCATATTTCCCAATAAAAGAGAGAAAAAAAAAAGATCCAACCCTCTTAGGCAAATACAAATAGAAAATTACTTTCCAAAACAACAGTTATCGCCCATAAACCAGTTTAATTACGAAAAATAACCCTAAATAGCAATAAATTTGGAGTAAAACTAAAAACCTAGATTAAATTTTAATTATAAGTTCCAACTATTAGGGTTTGAACCTAAAAAGGCAACAAGAAAATTTGGGGAAAATTCTAGACAAATGACAAAGAGAGCAGATGAAAGAAAAAGGCTAGTGCTAACCCTAACCCACCCTACAATTCCTAGCTATTGCCTCAAAAAATGTAACCGTTTTTTAAAATAACCGTCCCCCAATCCAAACAATGCGTTTCTTTTTCCGGGAAAAAAAAAAGGAATAATTACGACAAAAAAATTAAGAACGAAAACGGGGAGAAGGTTTCAGTGAAAGGAATGAAGGAAATAGCGAAAGCGTAGAAGAGAGAAAATAAAGGAAGAAAAAGAAAGATTGATAAAGGAAAAATAAAAATGCAGGTTATGCCAAAAATAAATTTAGGGTTTTGTTTTTGTTTGTTCGGAGAAGGAGGCGAAATTTTTTTCTGTCTTTTTCTTTTTTTTCAAAGACTGGGGAATGAAACGTCTCTTCTTCTAACAAAAATACAATATTTTCTTTTTTTTTTTTTAAACAAAATTCGATTGGAAAATTTTCTTGAAATTTATTGTATTTATTTATTTTTTATATTGAAGAAATTTTGACTTATATATTGTCTGCTGCTTTTCTTTTCTCTGGGTTGTGCTTTGTTTGTTAGACAATGGCCCTTCGTTGCTAGACGATTGTTTTTGTCTATAATACTACAACTACTGAGTATATCTTTATCTAGTATTATCTTAATCCTTTCATTAATTAAATTAATTAACTTTATCTTAATCTTGTAAAGAAGTCTAACTTAAATAGACTTTTACCAATCAGAAATTTCATTAACAAATCTTCAATAAATCTTTTGTAGCAATTATGCCATCATTTTATTCTTTTATTTTTTTTTTACTATTTTATAATAAATATGGATATTTATCTTTGCTAGTACCAGCATTTAGTTTATGACTACGATTAGTTTTTTTATATTTAAAATTATCAATTTTTTAAATTTGATGAATAAAATTAAAATTTTAATATTCTTTCAATTAAATTAAAATATTCACGTATGCTTTTTTAATGGAATATTATTGTTATATTAAAGAGAGCATGCATCAGATATAATTACCAAATTCAAGATATAAAATAATACTAGAAGAAAGAAACTTTACTAATAATTGATCACATGATTAGTTATATGTAAATAGAGTTAGTATCAAGTTGAGTTCCGGGCGAGTTTTGTTTGTCTTAAATTCAACTCGATTTTATATATTATCAAACCCGAATTTGATTATACCTAATTTTTTTTTATTTTTTCATATCGAAATCTGATCCCGACCCGATACTATATAAATTGTATTCGATTATATCCGACCTGAAATTAATAAAATATTATTTTTTAAATATAAATATTTAAAAATATGATTATATAAATATATATAATTAAATAAATAATTAAAATTTTTTATATAATATCAGGTCGAGTCGAATTTGTCTAAAATTCGAACCTAATTCGACCCCATTGTTTCATAACTTTATTTGACCCGATTTAAAACTCGAATTTAAAAAAAAAAAATCGATCCCGTAAGATCGAGTCATGTCAAAACCTATCTGGGTTAAATTTCTAACCCTACATGTAAATGCCATTCATTCTATTTTTTTTATTTTTTTTTTTTCATCACTCTGTTCTACGATTTCTTGCTTTGTAGCCACAAGCTTGAATATGTAGAGGTTGTGGGATAAAGACAATGCTTATAGACAAATGAAATATTGGTAAAATGTGAAAATTATATCTCTTTCTAGATATTATTATTATTGTTATTTCACGTTATACGATTGCCCATTTGTTATCAAAAGCTATAGAAATTTTATTACTCAAGATTAAATCTAAACAGATTTTGAAGATATATAATAATAACAAATTCTCTTTTATCATGATTAAAGTTTTACTCAGATAGATTTTTCTTAAATGAATAACATAATAAGATAAGGTAAAAAAAAAATAAATAAAAGAATACCAAACTGTTTCAAGACAATGGTAATTTTTAATTAACTTAGATAAAATTTTTTAAGTGAAATTTATGAAATTTTTTATTATAAATAATTAAATTAAAATAAAAATAATAAATTAAAATTGATAAATTGATAAAGTAAAAAATCTATTAAGTGTGCAAAATTTAAAAAAATAAATAAATTTTGATATATTTTTAGATAAATATTTTTAGTAAAAATTTTGATAGAATTTTAATCATTGAATAAGTAAAAATTAAATTTGAATTATAAATAATATTTTTAATATTTTTTTACATATTATTGATATTCATATTGAACTTTATTAATATATTGTTTGAAATTTTTATTAAATCATTTTAAAAAATAATTTTTTAAATTTTACCTAAAAAATTTCATGTAAGTTTTATCCCTCTTAAAGTCAATTAAATTTATGAGAAAAAACTCAATGAAATTTTATTTATTTATATTTATTTTTGAAATAAAACTCAAATGATATATATGTAAAGAGAAATAGTAACAAATGCTACATATGTACCATTAAATTTTTGTATAATTAAAATTATCATGATTTGAATTTTAATTACTAAAATTAAGAATCTACTCATACAATTGTTACCTATTCAAATTACTCATATTAAAGAAAAATATTATTATTCAAAATTTTCCTTTTTGGCTAAGTCAAAGAAGAGGATCTCAAACATTAAATTTTGGTTAAAAATTTTTCAAAACAAAATATTCTTTTTCAACCTTAAAGTTTCAACCACGTAAAATGTCATGTAGTATAAATTTTGGTCAGACACATGCTTCTTATATTGAACATATCATGCATAAATTAAAGTCTACGAAACAATCGATAGTACGTACCATATTGACCAACTTATGTTGAATATATCATAGTGATTAAAAGCAACGTTTTCCATTGGAAATACCATTTGCTTCCTCCTCAAATCATGATGAATGGACCATTAAGAAAATTTTTTTTTCAACTTTATCTCAAATAATTATAATACCAAAATAGTCCTCTTATGGCACAATTCAATTATCTTTTGAAATTTTATGTTATGGACTATTGAAATAAGTATAGTGATTAGTGAAATGTATATGAGATGAGAAAAAATTATTTATCTTATGTAATTTAAAACTTTAATGTAAAAAATTATGTTAATATTTTAAAAGATAATTTAAAATAAAAAATAAAATTATATTAATATTTTAAAAGATATTTTAAAATAAAAAATAAATATTCAATACTAAAATATTTTATCGTTCAAATTAAACTTGAATTTAAAATTTTGTATATAAAAGCTAAAGCCATGCTTAATGCCTAATCAAGTCTAGCTCTCCTTCTCATTAAAACGAATTTGTAAATTTTTTTTAATCTTATTTAAAGGTTAATTTAATATTATTGTTAAGGTTAAACATTTTTTGAATTAAAAAAATATGTTTAAAAAATGTAATTAAAAATTTTTAAACAAATTTTTTAAAAAATTTCAAAAACATTTTTTTACTTCAAAATTATCTTGAGAAGTTTTTGTTTGAATTTTCAAATAAGATTTTTAAACTAAAAATTCATATTATTTTAGCATTAAAATTGAATTGAAAGCAAGTTTTTGAATTATAATTTATATTTAACGTCAATGCTAAATTAGGTTTAAGAATTAAGATGAACCATAATGCTCGGGGGAAGAAAGAGTTTATAAATGATAAAATATCTTGAATCGTGATAGCTGTTTGCGTTTGCAATGGCGTAAGATATGAGCTAAGCTGGGCTTCTACTCGTGGTAGGTAAATCCCAATCATAATATTTTTTTTACTTGCAGTTGTTAGGGCGCCATCCATCAACGTCCTAGTTTAGTAGAGGTTAGATTCAATTATTTATATATTTATATCTTATAAAATTTTAATAATTTAATAATTTATATTATATTTTACATAAAAATTAAATATTATAATTTATATTAATATAAAATATAAAATATATATTTTTAATTTTATTAATATATATAAAATTTATGTCAAAATTTTAAATCATATTATTTTCATATTTTTTATATTATTTTTGTCTTATATTATTGTATTATTAATTAATTTATTTTATTACATTATTGTGTCATATTTTTATATTATATTATTATATTCTTATTTTATTTATTATTTTTGTATATAATATGAATTTTAAAATTTTTAATATAATATTTAAATTATAAATATATTAATTAATATATTATTTTAAAAATTATTTATTTGTTATGTAATTATCATATAAAATTAATTATGATAAAAATAATACAAAATATCATTTTAATTAACAATTTTGTAATACAAATATTATATTAAAAAATTTTAAAATTTAAATATTATATTAAATATTTAATTATAATTTAATAACCATCACATTAACCCTTCTTATTATAATCTCAATAATATATTTGGCTTCATGATTACATTACCCCATATGTTATATTGTGGATAGATTTTTGCACACCAATTTTAGCTCTATTTAATTATACCATTGAAAAAGTATATTTTAATTTCTTTCTGCCGTATCAATAATCAGCCGTATACTTCAATGATAATTGATAAGCTTATCAGGTAGTGCCGTGATGATGATTGGCAGTTTTACTTGACATTTTAAATTTCCATTATTACCACTAAAAATTGCCCAAATTCACATTTCTACCCAACAAAAAGTCAAATCGAGGGTAGCGCCATATTTGAGGTATTACATTTTGCCAGCTGCCACATGGGGTCTACTTATGGTGGACGCCACCGTAGAGAATAAACCAGCGTGTTTACGTGGCAAGAGTTTGCACAGTTCGAAAAACGGTCCCACTCCCACATTAAAACAAACAAAACAATCCTATCAAAATTTTTACCTTTTATAGCCGCCACGTGGCACCGCGTATAACCTCTTCCTCTCTCTTGCGACGGCGTTTACCAGTCTCACCTTCTCCTGTTTTACCATTTCTCTATCTCTTCCAGTCAGCTCCTTTTCGCTCCCATTTTTCTCACCTAAATTTTCCCTGGAAAGTTACGGACAAAATAAATTTTCGTTTTTTTTTTCTTCTAAATTGATATTTTGAAAACCCTAGACTACTTTGATTTTTTAGATTTTAGATGGATTTGGCTCCATATGCATCACTTATCTCGATTCTTTAGTCATAGAAGCGCCATGGACTGGAAGAGGAGCAGTAGAAAGCCGAGACTCGAGCGCCGCAATGCAGCGAAGCACATCGAGTACGATGCAGCTTCGTTTTCTTCGTCTCTCGATGATTCCTCTTCATCTTCTTCTTTAATCACGCGATCGCTAGATTTATCCGATAAAACCAGCTTCCGTATCCAAGGAACCGATGGAGAGTTCGACAGAATTTGTCAGAGTTTGGGCCTTAGTGGGCCTGAAGATTTTTCCATCCCAACCGCCGCTTGGGAGGCCCGTAATATCCGATCGTCTTCGGATCTTCTGCCTCGGTCCAGGTTAAACCGGTTGGCTAGTCCTAAAGAAGAGACGGCCACGGTAAAACACGGCACTGAAGTAACAATCGCTGAATTGACTGATAGGGTTTTGGTTACTGGGTTGACTGGGAATGACTCGGCCGAGTTAAAGTTAAGCGAGTGCTGCTTTTCTAATAGTATTGTGGTGGATGCTACCACCACATCCGAGTTAAAGTTAAACGCGTGTTCCGTTTCAAATGTTGTCGATGGAGGAGGGAATAATGGAATTAAGGGGGCTAGGCCACCGGTTTTAAAGCCGCCGCCGGTGATGAAGTTACCGGTGATCGATAACGCGTGCTCAACTTGGGATCTGTTTAGGGATTTCGCTCCTGAAGACGATAGAGGGTGTGTGGTCCCGGTTCACTTATATTCGTCTTCCGATGAAGAAGAAAAGAGAGAGGAGGAGAGTGGGGTTATTGAAGAAAATGCTAAGGAGGAGGAAATTTTAATGAGAATAGGAGAGACTGCGGTGCTTTCAGCGTCGTGTTCGTTTACGACTTCAAATGATGATGATTCTTCCAGTTCTACAACGGAACCTACGTCAAATATTTCCCCTAATGGTAGGTTCAAAAGGAAAATTACTTATTGGGAGAAAGGTGAGCTTCTGGGGCGTGGATCATTTGGATCGGTTTTCGAAGGGATTTCTGAGTAAGTCATGGATTACTGCCTATAACGTTCAACTTTATATTCATGTTTAATTAGATGCTTGTAGGTAGTTTTTTTTTAATAATTTCAAGTTCATTTATCTTTAGAGCGCAAACTATTTTTGGTACAGCCTTAATTCTACACAATCATAATTTTGTCCCTTGGGGCGGCACCTTTTTAGAGTTTAGAAAGCATCTAGGGCTAGGAGGTGTTATTGGTGTTAGTTAAGCATCTTAGAGGAAGCACCTTTCATTGACCACTTAATTCTTTAGAGAGCACCGTTTTGCATGTTGGGATTGAAGGCTCAATGATTGTTGCATCTTTAGATTGCTGGATATCATTTATATAGTTAACACCAATGGTGACTACATTTTGGCCATCTCGTGTTTTTGCTGCCTCAAACTTTAAGGGGTTAATGTAGTTAGCCTTTAGGTCCATCTGCCTTTAAGTGTTACTTTGTTTGCTGCGTGAAGTTTTGCATAATTTATAAGCCCATTTAGGCATTTTTTGTGGGCAATTTATTCTCTCTCTATGTGAGCAGTTGCATAGAGAACTAAATACCTGAGTTAAGTCCATCATTTACTTTTGCTTGGAAATAGGTGTAAATTGTCAATTTTGGTCTATAGTTTTCATTATCCTATTTGGTTAGGAACTGGTCTACTGGAGATATCTTGTTCTATAGTATATTTCATGATGATGAATTTAGCTGTTTACCGTTGTTGAAGAGTTGAGAAATATAAATTTAGGGAAGCAACGTTGTACCAGAATCTTTGAGATATGTAGCTAAATGCAGAGATTTTGGGTTATCTAAGGCTCTAAGCTATGTGGTGGCATTTTCATGGAGTCACAGAAGGAATCATTGGTCATAAAGAATTTTCAAAATAGCACAGGAAACCCATTTTTATCCTATCAGCAATTAATTGGTTATCCACTTGTCCAATAGCTTAGCTATTGCTTTTCTTTAGGAAAGAGATGTTTTTCTTTTAATCATGCTTTACTAATTATTTATCCATTCATTTCCCTGTAGCGATGGATTCTTTTTTGCTGTGAAGGAAGTTTCATTGCTTGATCAAGGAAGTCAGGGGAAGCAAAGTATTATCCAACTTGAACATGTGAGACAGTTTTTGTCTTTTACTTCATTAAATTTCATTTTCTTTTGTGCTAATCAAAATTTTTTCTTGAAATATCGATTTTCTTGTGGTCTCTATCTTTTTAATTTCTTTTTTTCCTTTCTTTTTCAGGAGATTGCTCTATTAAGTCAGTTTGAACATGAAAACATAGTTCAGTATTATGGCACAGATAAGGTACTAGTTTCTAACATTTACTTTTATTAGTGGAATTGATTGCTTTAGATATTCTCTGATTTTTGAAAAAATTGAATATGGTATATTTTTTCTTTAAAAATCAAATTTGATAAAATGTGCACTTCCACAGAATTTTTTAATGGGAAAAAGGAAACATGGCTTATCCTGGGGTGGAATGTAAATTTGCTAAAAAGAGTGTGTTAAAATATAGCAAGCTCAATTTCAGGTGGGCTTTTCATGGTTTTATCCTCTGGGCTATCTATACCTGTTGAAAGGCTTATTTACTGTGGCTTTTTGAGGCTATTTTGCTTTGCTAATTTTCGAGTGTTGTTGTATACGATGTTTGACAATTAAATATCCACCTCACTTGGTTTATTCTTTTATTATTAGAAAGGCCTTAATGCCAAAGTTTATGTTTAATGTAGCCTTTTCTTTTTTAGTTATGGAGAGCTGATTGACAAAAAAAAATTCTCATTGCAATGCAAAATATTGAACAAATAGCAAACTGTTGGTGCATGTAAATCCCTACATATATGTCTGTATATTGGAGCATTATCATTTTAGCGATTGTAAGTTGGGTTGTCAAATACCTTGGCTTAATAGGATGACCTTTTGATTTAGCTTTTTCGATAATTGTCTAATTTTTATCTTTTGATTTTATGGTCCTTGCAGGATGAATCAAAATTATACATCTTTCTTGAGCTTGTAACCAAAGGCTCCCTTTTAAATCTATATCAGAAGTATAATCTCAGAGATTCTCAAGTCTCTGCATATACAAGACAGATTCTGCATGGATTGAAGTATCTTCATGACCGAAATGTGGTTCACAGGTAAGTCAAGAGACATTTTATGTTGCTGCTCATGCATTTACATGCCACTTAAAATTTTTGTTTGTTTGGTCTAGCCAAATCTGTTTTCTAATTTGTACTTTACTTGCATGTATTTCGTACTTATATTTGCCTGCAGTAAATTGCTCCGTATGGAAAATATTTTCTGTTAGGTTGTATTTTGAAAAATCTGTTTTTTTTTTTATCAAATAATATTAATATAACTATTAAAATATTAAAAATTATTTATTATTAAAATTATTAATATTCAAAAATAATTTTATTTTAATAATATTTAATATTAAAATATTTTATTAATATAAAAATTTAAAACAAAACTATTTATTATTCGTTATATTATTTATTAATATAATATTAATATATTATTATAATATTTATTTATAATAATATTATTAATATATTATTTATTCATATAATAATATTTATTAATATATTATAATATAATATTATTTATTTATTAATATAATATTATTTATAAGTAAAATTATGCTCAAAAGTATTGATAAATAGTTCTACTTAATAGACAGCTCTTTTCCAAAAAATGTCTTCCCTTTTTCAAATTTGTGAGACAATTTTCAGAAAAGTGGTTTAATTCTCCATTGACCAGTAAATCATTTTCTGTTGACTAGCCAGTTTTTTGCCAAACAAATACCTGAAAATGTGATAAATCATTTTCTGTGAAAGAAATGGAGCCTTAATAAATATTGCTTCACTTAACCAATGGAAGTTTTGATTCCTTATATCTATTATGATCTGCTATAATGAAACATAATCTGTATGCATATATAATTTTCCTTCTTGGAGGACATTTTAAAGTCAAGAATGTGATTTACTTTGATCATAGAAGTTTTTCTCAACATTTTACTTGTTATTATTTTTGTATTTATTTTTCCCTTAATGTTGGTTGCCTGCTTTATCTCTGTTCTCTTCCCTGATTTGGTATTTGTTATAGTTTTTTGCTTGACGTTAAGAGTAAAATTGTACGTTCTATGTTATTCCTAAGTTACTCCACACTTTGAATTTTATGCTCTCAAGGCTCATCTACTTGTTTATTTATACAGGGATATTAAGTGTGCAAACATATTGGTGGATGCAAGTGGATCAGTGAAACTTGCAGATTTTGGGTTGGCAAAGGTTTTTTTTCCCTATCCTAAGACTTTGACCTTCTTTCTTGTTTTTAGTAGCTTCTAAGATGATTATATTAATTGATGCTGGGTTCGTTTTCAGGCAACCAAGTTGAATGATGTTAAATCATGCAAAGGGACGGCATTCTGGATGGCCCCTGAGGTTTGCCTCTATTCTTTCCTTTAATAAGTGATAACCTGTAATAGCTGTTGTTTGAATTATGTAGAGTATTATTTTCTTCTGTATGAAGAAACACTGCTCGAGATATCTAGCTTATAGGAATACTCAATAATGACTATATTAGAGATATTGCTGGAAGTATTTAGCTTATGGGAATACTTAATCATGACTATGGTGACAAAAGAAATGATGCAATACGTTCATGGACTGGTAGTTGCTAATGTTTGATGATGGCATTTCTCCCTTCCTGAAACACTGCTGGGCCTTTTTTTGATCATACTTCAATGATGTCTTCAGTTCCTAGTTAGATGGGTTCCAGTACTTTTTCTTAAGAAACATACTTATTCTTTGCTGCAGTAGTTTTTATTTTCTTTATGACACAGACTAACAATAAGTTCTAGTCTTCCTGAATTCTGAGTATAAGCTGTGTGATTACAGGTTGTCAATCGGAAGGGTCAAGGCTATGGAATTCCTGCTGATATATGGAGTCTTGGTTGTACTGTGCTGGAGATGTTAACCCGTCAGATTCCATATTCTAATTTGGAATGTGTACGTACCTCTTCTTCTTGATACAAATATTACTTTTCTTAATGATTAAGTGATTTTATATAAACGTAAAAAAGAAAGGAACAGATGTTCTGGAAATTTGTAGGTTGTCATCACCAAATCACAAAATGGCTTATGTAGTTTTAAAGCACGAAATTGGGTTTCTAATGTGTAGCATTAATTGATTTAAGTGTGTAGTAGGATGTCAGGCATTAAATGTCCAGGAAAAGGCAAATCGGTAGAGGAGTGAGGTGGAGGGATATTCCAGTTTGTTTCCTATATTTTCCTTTCTTCTACAAGAATTTGCTGGTTGCTGGTTGTTCTTTTCATATAAATTCTGTCTTTTGCTGATGCTGGAGAGCTATGAACAAGTGTTATAAATTCTGATACTCTCCATTTTTCATGCAATTATAACATTGCATGACTATTGCTCTGTTGTTTGATGTCTTTTTGTGTAACTCAAAACAGATGCAAGCATTGTTTAGAATTGGCAGAGGTGAGCCACCACAGGTTCCTGATTCTTTGTCGAAAGATGCACGAGAGTTTATCATGCAATGTATACAAGTAAATCCAGATGCTCGGCCAACTGCTGCTGAACTCTTACAGCACCCATTTGTAAAGAGGCCTCTTCCAACACTCTCAGGCTCAGCATCTCCTCATCCTGGCCGGCGGTTTTGAATGTTTAGCCTTGAAACTAAATAATCGGGTAAACATTTTCCTCTTACCATATGTTTTTATCTCCTTGTTGATCTTTCTGCCATTTGGAAGTGATCTTTTGTCAGACAAAACATTGTCCTTGAATCTGTTATTGTCACATGATGTTAGCTATGAGATCCTAATATGCATGAAATATCCTGTAACAATGGGTATGTTGATTCTTGTTTAACATGCCTTTGTTAACAATTTAGTATGTGTTCAGGGCATTTTTTTTTATCTTATTGTTAGTCTGTGAAAAGTTACACACTAGAAAAAGGACTTTGGTGGCTGATTTTGATTTTTTCGTGCGGATGTTTTTGCTCTTGGATACAGCTCCATCCATCATCAGGAAGAAGATAAGTTTGCGTCCTCAAGCTCGGATGCTACCACCTTTAGTTTTGCCCCTAAAGAGTCAAGATACCGAACATTGGTAGGCTAAAACCATTCTGAAGCATCGCTATGGCCTAATGGCCTTGCCGTAGATCTCAATTTCCGGATGATGCTGAACAGAGCAGAACTGGTCATAAATTATTTGTTGTCATTTTGTCTGTTATGGAATTTGATTTAGTGAGGTTTCTTTTATTTTGTAGAAATTTTTTTTTACAGGTGAAACATTGTAGGGCAAGGTGTAGGAGATATTGTTGTAGCAAGTTAGGAATCATACACTGTTTGTAAATATGTATCTCATTGTTGATGCAAATGGATGGTAAGTTTGTGTTGATTATGTGCACAATCAACTTGTGATTTATTGCTTGCTTTTTATTTGAAATCTCTCCGGCCCTCATCGGGAAAAAAAAAAAAAGTTTTATCTGGTTGCCATCAGATGGTTAGCGACTGATGTACGTCTCTCTCCCTCTCTTTTTTTTTTCCTTTGGTCACAACTCTCCTATTATAATTCACAATCACAATCGGTTAAGATATTATTTTGGGAGACCAGTCTTTCCATTTCTTTTACGCAATCTCTTTATCTTTTTTGATCAAATTCAAAAAGCAGGAGAAATCTTACATCCTCATAAACTTAAACATCCAAATAAAACAACATAGATAAAGAAAGGCTTAAGTATAAAATAACTAAAATTAAATAATTACTTTAATTTTATTATTTTATTATAATTAATTAAAATTTTAAATATTTATTTTCAAACAATGAACTTTTATTAGAAAAAAATTGAGCAACAATTGTCACTAATTTTTGTCTAATCCAAAATTTAATTGAGTGAAAATAAACGTTTAAAAGTTTAATTAGTTACAATAAAAATAATAAAAACTTGAAAGATTATTTAATTTTAATTCATTTTTTTTTATATTTATGTCATAATAAAGAAAATGATAAACAGCCAGAAAGATTGACATGAAATCAATTAGCCAGGCTGCCAAAACGATTGTTATTTAGATGGGCTTTTAGTTGGGCCTAGGTCTGCGGCCCAAGAAATTAATATCCGTAAGTATCTGAAATTGCGTAAAAATATCGACATTGGAGAATAGAGAGTGAGTGAGAAAAGAGCGAAACTGAGAGGGTGAAGGCGTAAACTAAAATTCCGCTCCTCTCTCCACAGCGCCAGTAGCAGCAGCGGCAGCGGTTGCGGAAAGAAAGCCACCACTTTCCTACACAATCGCAATCTCATTCCTCTGCGAACATCGGCTTCCTTTCATTCCCCCAATTTTTAACCTTCCTTCTTTTCTCTCTCTCTCCTCCCAGAAAAAAACTTTTTTTTCCTTTCTATTCAAAAAATTTCAAATCGACGGTGACATATCCAGGTACGCTGGAGTCCGGTTTTCTTTTCGATCTCTCTCACATTCATTTCATTTGATTATCAATTTCGATTTTATTGCTTTTGAAGATGCTGCATTTTGATCTTCACTGTTCTGATCGCGCTTTAAAGTTTCAAATGTTTTAGCCTAGGGTTTTAAACTATGGCTGCTTTTGCTGGTCCTTTCTTATATATTGTTTAATCAGCTTCCCTACTTTTTCTTTTCCCTTTAATTGTGTATGATTAGAAATTGTTCTTTATTTTTATATATTTTTTCTGCATTAATGCAAAAAAGGCAATGCTTATTTGGTGTTATATCTGTTTCTTCTTTGAGAATTTTCATTTTCGTTTCCATTTTTGAATATTTCTACAAGTTTCCTTGTTTGCTTTTTTTTTTTTAAAGTTGTTATTGTGTAAATGAATATTAGTGATTAGTAGACTATTGGAGGAGAATCATAAAAAAGATTATTGCTTTCAACAATTTAAGAGTTTCCCTTTAGCTTTTCAAGGACTAATGAGAAATGATTCAATAAGTTCATGCCGTTGTAGTTTAAAGGATAGATTTACACTTGAAACGTTCATTTTATGGTGAGCAACAGTAAAAAGCAAAACCATATTTGATTACATATCCTTCTATGTTTTGCTTTTAGGCTCTCTTTTTATCCAGGGTGGTCTTTAAATGTGGTCAGAGTATATTTTATATTTTTAATTCCAATGTTCAGCTTATTTCCCCCCTTTTTGTTTTTTCTCTTAAATCTTTATTTTTCTATCTGGTCATTAGGATGATGAAAATGGTGCTTATTGTAAAGTTTATTTTCATTTTTTCCTTTGTCCCCTACTATCTTGATTGTAATGAATGTTTTTTGATTTTTAGGAATTGCTTAACCTGTGCTTTATTAGTAATTTTGGAATTTTCTGGTTTTTTTTTTTTTCATTTCAAGCTAAAATGCTTTATAATAAGCATGGTGGATAATTTCAGAGTGCTTGACACGTTTTTTACAAGTTGCAACTAAATCATTTTAGAAACATGTTCTATAGTGTTTAAAGCTTGATTCAAAGGTTGACATATTTGATACTAATTTTGTTGGAAAGGGTTTTTTTTTAAAGGAACTGTTAAAAGTTATGGAATGGAGGTAGAATTTCATTGACAAAATTAATTGTTAGTCATTTTTTACTTGTTAACTCTATTCGGCAGGCTTTCAACTATACTTATAAAGAGTTTAGAATCATTTTTCGTTATTTTACTTGTTTTGTCTAAACTTGTCTTTAAAGTTATACAAGCTTCATCTTAATCTGATAGGCATTACCTCGAAGCCGATTTATGTCCTTGAAAGTTGGAATTCAAAAGGAAGTTTTTAAATATTGATTGCAGTTTCCAATTATTTGTAAAAAGTGCTATGCAGGTAAAATATGTACTTGTAAGGAACAATTCATTGGTGATTTTGATGGAACCTCACCAAGAGGTCAAGGCTTCAAACGGGTGGACCGTTTCTTGATCTGGTGGCTGCCATCCAAAACATGCTATGGGGTGGGTTAGGATAGCCTGGGTTGTAGGGCAAGGTAAGAGTGCTAACTGTGTAACTGATAAAAGAAAGGAAAAGGGTGATGGATTTAAACTATGGCACTTCCGTATTTTGTTTGGCACCATGTTCTTCCATGTTAACTAGGCCCCTATTTTCTAGTTTCACTGGGCAATGGTATTTCCTGCTGTGAAACAGTTTTCTGGTTGAGCCTTGCACTGAATATTCTTGGTTGTAGTTTATAAACCTGTTATCTTACTTCTTTTATATGTTTGTCTCATTACATTTTGTGAATATTCATTTATGTGTTTAAAGAAGTTAACTTTGTAACATAGATAAATCTGCCCCCTTGTATTAAAATTTCTTGAGTGTTTTTATGATATGTTAGTGGTAGCATTATTAATAATTTCAACCAGTCACTCACCAACAACGGGAAATCAGGAATGGGGTCTGTGATAATTTGATGCTCAACTTTTTTCCTTTTTACTTTGGATCATCTACTTAAGTAGTGTTTAGTATAGGGTAATCACTTCAAAGACTATGGTGATCTACACATAGTGATTAGATCATTATGTCTGGTAAGCACTCTGTGATCCTAAGTGGCTGTGATCTTGGATCACTAAGAATGACCAGATCACTGCCTTGGAAGATGATCTAATTCCCACATAAAATGATGGGAAACTTTTATCACCGAGATAAAGTGATATGTAAAAGTAACAATAGTTAATTGTACCCATTTAATATGTGAATTAAAAACTTGCTGCGTCTTAAAATTGTAATTATTTTATATTATAAATTTTTATATTTTCAAAATAATATTTATTATAATAAGTGCAAAATAATTTGTGTATTTTTTTGTTTACTTTTTTAATATTTTATATAATATAAAATTTTTTATTATGAATTTAATAATTGGTGTTATTTTCTAATTCAAATATTTTTTTCACATAATTGATATTATAAAAATCAATTTACTTATCAATAAATATATTTATTAATTTAATAATTTAATTATATTTTATTATAAAATAAATAAATATTACTAATATTTTATAAATTATTATCTTTAAACAAACATAAAATTATTTATTTGTGTAGTTATTACAATATGCATGGTTCTTTTTGTACTTTAAAAACAAAATAATGTTTGCTTTTAGTAATACCAAATATAGTGATCTTTAATTCCTAAGAATTAATCATTATCAACCAAACAAAGTGGTTTCAAATCACGAGTATTAAGATCACTTTGGTAATAAATCACCCCAATAATTACATTATCATGGTAATCTTACAAAAGACAACAAACGCTACCTTAGTGAATTGATCTTTGTGGATTTTCTTAGTATTGGCATTTGGGTGTATCTCATAAAAGAATAGGTTCTCAGAAATGAGGACACTGCTGAACAATGTCAACTGGCCTAGAAGATTTCATGCATGTGTCTCTGTTTTCTCTTGACAGACCTTATTTATTTATTATCAACTAAGATTCCTGATATTGCCTTATCTGAATGTTCTTAATTGGGCTTAGTATACACCTTACTGCAGATAGGGCGTTACATATTCTGCATAGATTAGAGATCTTACTGTTACTTGAAAGTGTGTGCAGTTAACAAGAATCATACCTATGCTAGTCTTGAAAGTTAGAATAACATGAATGCTCAAACCGTACTTCAACATTTTTAGTCTAATCAATCAACATGCCTATTAGTGTTTTTAGATGTTTATTGGTTTTTAATTTTCAGCAATTAAATTTCATTCATTATTGCCTTAGAAGTGGGATTTCTTTAGTATGTTAGTGTCTTTTTTCTGAGAATATGCACCCATTCCAACAATAAACTCTCCTTCCCTAGAGATATATCTACTTAGTTGTCTTAGGCTTTATCCCATTTTGTACCCCAAGCAAAGAACATTGTTAATTGTTACTCTACACTTTTTGAAGTCTATGCATTAAATGGATGCACTTTGCTTGGATTTAGCCAGCAATCTCCCATGCTGTGTAATGCATGAAAATTTTAATAGGCTCTCCCATCAGAAAATATGAAATATGAGATTTTTGATCTTGCGTAAAGTGCAAGGCATATATTGATCTTGCTTATGTTTTACAAAAATTTTTATTGTTAAAATGATCTGATCTCTCTCTATCTCTCCCCTGCTTTAGGTTTAAATTGTGAATGGCCAAAGTTAGCAAAGTGCGAAAGTCTGATTCCCGTCATAAAAAGGTGAATCCTTATCTATTGCCATCTTATCCTAAGAAGGCTGGCAAAGGCTCCCAGAAGAAAAAATGTTTGAAAGCTTCAGAGAAGAAAGATTGGGAAGCTGCAAAATGTTCAGTTTGTCTGGAGTTCCCGCACAATGCTGTTCTCCTTCTTTGTTCCTCTTATGATAAGGGTTGCCGCCCTTACATGTGTGCTACTAGCCGGCGCTTTTCCAATTGTCTTGAGCAATACAAGAAAGCCTACACTAAAGTAACTTCAGTTGAAAATGGGTTGATGGACAATTCGAGTCTTATTTCAGGTGTTGGGCAGCCCACTGACAAGATGGAAGTACCAGAGCTTCTATGCCCACTATGTCGGGGACAAGTGAAGGGTTGGACAGTGGTAGAACCTGTACGGAAATATCTCAATCGGAAAAAAAGGGCCTGCATGCAAGACAATTGCTCATTTGTTGGCTCCTACAAAGAGCTAAAGAAACATGTTAGGGCAAAGCACCCATTGGCACAACCTCGAGCAGTGGATCCTGTACTTGAAGAAAAATGGAAAAAGCTTGAAAATGAAAGAGAGCGAAATGATGTGATCAGTACAATTATGTCATCAACGCCAGGGGCAATGGTGTTAGGGGATTATGTGATTGAGCCAGGCTATCGTGGTATCTACAGAGATGAATATGATTCAGACGACTCTCTTGATGATGGTTTTATTAATCTAGATTCTACTGTTCGCTTGCATACTAGATTCATGGAATATGACCTATTTGAGGAGGATGACTTTGGGATGCGCCGTGCTTTTCGTGCTGTTTCCCCCCTAGCCCGCACTCGGCGTACTCGCTTGTTGGGATCAGTAGGACTAAGGCGATTCCCTAGGGTCCGAGGCCGTAATGGAAGCCGATAACTTATGTGACTACTTATAAGGACTGGATCATTTATTTATCTGCAATTTATAATAGTTGGATCTCTTTGCAGCTGCCGTCATATGGTGGACTTTATACCGCAATGTGATGTAACATTTAAAATGAACAGATTGTAGTTGTAGGAGAGTCAGTCATTGGTAAGTAGGTATTTAGTTGTTGAGGGGAACCAAAGGTATTTTAGCTGTGAGTTCCCTTGTAGACTATCATTTGGTCATGCATAGCGGTCATTTGACAGCAGCAGAACATTAAAACATTCTTTCTACACTCTTTGTTGTAGGGGCTGGCAACATTTCTCCATGTTGCGCTTGATGGTCCTTTATTCTCCTGGATACTATTCTGTAGTGTACAGCTTCAAGAAAAATCAGAGGAGAATTAAATAATTCTTCGGTAGTTTCTCTGCCTCTTTATCAAGTTCCAGACTTCGAGTCAGGTGAATTCTTCATTAATCCATGATCTGAGGTTTGCTTATTATTTATTCGTATCTTATTCCATTTTCGGGTCATGAATTCGACTAATAAAACTGTAGTCATATTAATCAAAGTTAGGTAAATATGTAAATTTTTTTTTCTCATCAACATTGCATTTTATATTTTCACTCTCATTGGGAATAATAGTAATTTGGAAAACGGAAGAACAAAAAAAAAAAAAAAGAAAAGAAAGGTCAGGCAAATACTAGTACTTTGAATCTTGGGAATTTTCATTTTTATTACCTTTTATTGACCGAAAAAAGAAAAAAGTTCCATTGTTTGTGCTGAAATATTTGATCTCAATGGGCTTGACCCATGAAGAGAAGAGCTTCTGTCTTCCCTGGATCCTAAAGAGAAAGGTGTTGGAATGGATGTGGGCTTTGAGTTTGTTCTGATATAAGGCCAATCAAGTGCTGAAACGGAGCCAACTTTGGGCTTGGCCCAAATTTACTGAGTAAACCCAAAAAAGGGCCTAATAACTCTAACGGTTTACCTCTAATTGTTTTGTCGCTTCTTCTGTTTTCCCTTGTTATTTTTTTATGTACAAGGAAGGCTGATATGAATTGGTGACTTTCTGCTTAACAGGTAAGCCACCTAGAAACAAAAAATTTAATACCAAAATCAACAAATAGCCGGGTTGCCCTCCTTCAGACTCCAAAGTACCCTGCCTGTTTTTAGATGATAACATTTTGATCTAAAGAGAAAATGACTACAGATTTTGATGTTGAAATTTCATATTTTTTTTACCCAAAGGAGATGGTAGTTTAGGGATAAAAAAAGGAGTTGTGGGTATGAGATTGAAATCTATACCTTTAAATATCACTTCTTAAAAATGATTGTATCAATCAAATCTAATTCTTAAATTTCATATTTTTTAGATTAGTCTCAACCAACCAAGAAATTTAAAGAAGGCAAATAGGAAAAACCAGAATCATTATTTAGTCGTCAATGTGACAAGCAGTCAAGTGGAAATTGATCTTACGAATGCTTTCATAATTCATATTATTCATAATAAAATTGTCACATTATGTCTTTTATATCTTGCCTTCTGCTATCTGATGTAATACTGTGTGCCAAGTTGCAAAACTAGCCAACCATAAAATCATCTGGCCATTATGTTATTTCCCATTTGCTTGAGGATTGTATTAACTATTTGGGTTTTGGACTGTTGGACCTAAAAGTAATGCTGCAAATAACTTGGCATTGAAAAAGTTCTTTAATTTTTGGTCACATGATATTAGCAAAAGCATTTTCTAGTTCTAAAAGTAATCACCTGGAAATATTCATCCCATGCATATATTGCAATAAGATATTGCTCTTTCTAAGTTCTGTGAATTCCTTCTTCCCCAGGATTCCTTGACCCTGGAAAATCTTTGTTGGATTTATGAATCAAAGAGTCTATAATTGGTTGACCAAGTTTTACTTTGTCAGCACCTGTTACCTAGTTTTTTGCAGAATCATTTGGCAAACAATTTTTTCTGAACCTTGCATATCAAACAGTTTGCTAGCTGATGCTTGTTTTGCTGTTCGTTATTATGCTTCAACGAAATGTCTTAGTTTAATTAACTTAATTAATAAATAAATATAGGCGAATTATCTAACAGGATCACTTCTCTGGGAAATTCATTTGAAATCAAAACCAATTTTCAAATTTGGTTATTATGATCAACGATGTCTCCCATGCATCAGCTTGTCCCGTCACCCCAATCAGCATTCAACACATGATCAAAGCACAAATGAACAATTGAACAAGTTTTATACTCCAATTTCTTTAATTAAACGTGAAAAATAAAAAAGAGAAAAAAGTAGTGAAGCAATCACTACGCAGGGGATGGTGAATATGGGGTGCCACTTGACCAAAAATCTTATGCCACATAGGCAAAAAAAAGTGTGGCCATTTTTCTAGTTTTCTTTACAGCAAGAAAACTGTCCGAGAGGAACAAAACAATAGCAAAGCCAAACGAAAAAGACCAAACATATTCTTTTAATTAGATAACTCTTTTCCAAGACAATCACATCATGCACAATGCTTGCGAAAGTTGCCCCTCTATCTATCAACCTTATTCAAGTTTGACACAACTTTTTGTCTGCTGGCGGTCGGCAGAAAAGAAAAGAGAGATGAGCCACCAGAAACCAAATGGCTCAAAGCTTCACCAAAGGGCCAATGTCCCCTTACTTATCCCCCTCTATTCCCTTTTTGCCGCCCCCAGTTATGATCACTTTGTCATTTGGTGACCCTTTCATTTTTGTTACCGTTAATCCACACGCTCTCTTCTCTTTCTTCTGCATTCGAAACCCGCCCCATGTTTTATCATTGACCGTTGGGCTCTTCCATGAGCCATTTCCCATTTCCACAGGCAATAAAAATGTCCCCTTACTCATTGCTTCACATTTTGGCCCCACGCTCTCCGATCTCCCCTCCCAAGTCCTACCTCCCTTCAACTTTATCGTTGTCTATGCATCTATTCTTTAATAATTAAAACTCTCATTAATTAATTAATTTGTAATATTTTTAAAAAATAATATTTAATAATTTCGAGATTCAAATTTTAATATTTACGAGTATATTTTTATTTTCAAATTTTAAATTTTTTTGTAAATAAAATTGTTATTTTTTATTATAACATGAACATCTCAAGTGTCATTTGGATCTTTTTTTTCTTGAAATATTTTAAAATTACAAAATTTCACATTGATCAAGTACATTCCAATTAGAATTTTATTTCAAAAAATTTTCTTACAGAAATCGAATCTTGATTCATAAAACATAAAATTCTTTCTTCTTACAAAATCAAACTAAACCTTCTCAATACAACTCCTTTAATTATAGACTTCACTTAACTCATACAATTTCAAAGAATCTTCACATTTTTAATCTAATCTACTAATTTAATCGCATTAAACAAGTTTATGCAAGATTTAATTAAGTTCGTCTAAACCTTGTCGTCACATGCATTCCTTGATCAATTATAATCTCTATTTTTAAGCTTTAAACCTTCGTTGTAACGCAAAAGTTTGTATTTTTAGGCTTTTTTCCTTAACAATAACTATAAATTCGTAAGAGTGTAAACGAATTGAATTTAAATAAATTTTATTATATTTGTGAATTTAATTAATAAATTTTCAAAAACTATTTATAATTATTTGTTAAATTTAATTAATAAATATAAATAAATAAAAATTAAATATATTCACGAAACTATTCTTTGAACATTTTATTATTTTACATTTTTACTGTTTGTTAAAAGTGATGACAATTGACACATGATTCGAATAATTAAGGGTTTAAAGGATAAATTTGTGAAAATTAAAATTTGTTGTTGTACTTTGATTTGATTGAAATTTATCATTATATTTTTATTCATGGATCAAACTTAAAGAAAATAAAATATTCTGATAGTAAATTTAAAATTAATTTTGAAAAAAATAAAAATACAATATGAATGATAATTTCACAGGTATAAAAATGTATATTTGATGTGTCATATTAAAAAGTTATTATTTGTTTTTTATGAAATTTTTACTAAAATAAACATTTTCAAATATTAAATTTAAAATAATTAAAAAAACTAGTTAATTCTAATTTATATAGTAAAAAAGAAGTATATGTGGTAAAAATTAAATAAAATAGATAAATGAAATGAGAAGAACATAGAAAGAGAAAGCAATTAATTGTGGAAAGAATTAGGATGGAAGATTATAATTTTTCTAATATCCAAAGTAGTTATAACTTGAATTAACCCCAATAACAATTTAGAAAATAGACCACTTTTAATATTACAATCATAATAAAAAAAAAGTTTACTCCTATGAATTATTTACATATTACAAACAATAATTTCCTCTTATAAGTTAATATTGAAATGTACTTATTTTAATATGAAATTGCTAAAAAATAATATTTTTTCCTAATGTGGCACATTAGATGTATATTTAAATATCGAATATTCATATTATATTTTTTTATTCAAAATTATTTTAAATATATGAACAAAATATTTTTTTTATTTAACTGAATAAAAAATATCAAAAATAAAAATATAATGATAAATTTCAATTAAATCAAAATACAGTGATAAATGGTGTCAAATTTACTAACCCATTAATTAATAACATTTGGGTTTGAATAAAATTCGAAAGTAGATAGGTTGTTCAGTCTTTCAAATCAGGATAAGATGTGTTGTATCTGATAGTCTAAAACAAATGATTACAGATCATGTATTCGAAATGACTCCAATAAATAATCATCGATAAGATTCGAATTTAATACCTATTCATAAAAAAAGATGAGTTTTAACTATTTGAATCAACTATTTATTGATCATTAATTAATAATATTAAATTAATATAAAGGTTATAGCTTATAAGAAAGGATTTGTGATGCAAACAAATATTCTTGACCGTACAGCTAGTAGTCCGATTAATTCCATTGAAATATGAACATCCTATGTACGCACACTTTATGTCACATTTTCCAGGAACTAATCAAATCACTTAATTATCTTTCTAATTTTAAAAAATTAATTAAAGACTTATATTTCCTTTTTCTCAACATCATTGAAGAGAGTAGAACTTAGATGCAATCCAATAAATA